TCATGATGCACTTTGAGTTAATTATTTTTAAAGATTTATTTATTTTAGAGAGAGTGCACATGAGTGGGGGGAGGGGCAAAGGGAGAGAGACTCTTTAAGCAGGAGATCAGGACCTGAGCCAAAACCAAGAGCTGACTGCTTAATTGACTGAGCCACACAGGTGCCCCGAGTTAATTTTTAAAGTTTATTTATTCATTTAATTAAACTCTGTACCAGTGTCCGACTCAAACTCATTATCCTGAGATCAAGAGTTGCATGTTCTTCTGGCTGAGCCAGCCGGGCACCCCTTGAGTTAATTTTTTTAATATCATGTGAGGTACGGATACAACTTCATTCTTCTGTATGTAGAAGTGAAGTTATCTCAGAATCATTTGTTGAAGAGACAATTCTTTACCCATTGAATGTTCCTGGCACCCTTGTTGAAAATAAGTTTGCCATAGGTGAGGGTTTCTTTCTTGCCTCTCAATTCTCTTTCACTGGTTTATGTGACTTTCCTTCTGCCAGATCCAGACTGTCTTGACTGTTGCTGCTTTATAGTAAGTTTTGAAATAGGGACATATGTGTCCTTCTACTTTGCTCTTTTTAAATCTTGTTTTGGTTATTTGGAGCCTCTTGTAGTTTTATATGAATTGGAGGATCACTTTCTCCATTTCTGAAAAAAAAAAAGGCTTTGGAATTTTAATAGGGATCGTGCTAACTCTGTACATCACTTTGGGTAGCATTGTTACCATCTATTAAGCCCTCCGATCCAAGAACTGTATCCCCTAAGTTTTGATATGTTGTGTTTCTGTTTTCATGTGTGTCAAGGTATTTTCTAATTTCCCTTGTGATTTCTTCTTTGACCCACTGGCTGTTTAGACTTTTAATTTTCACTTATTTGTGAATTTTCCATTTTTCTTTCAGTTTTTTATTTATAGTTTCATTCCATGTTTGTCCCAGAAGATACTGGATGATTTCAGTCTTTTAAAATTTATCAGTACTTGTTCTGTGGCCTAACAAATGGTCTTTCCTGGGGAATATTCCATGTGCACTTGAGAAAAATGCATATTTTGCTGTTTTTGTGTGGAGTGTTCTACATATGTGTTAGGTCTAGTTGGCTTAGGGTGTTGTTCAAGTCTTCTGTATCTCTGTTGACCTGTCTAGTCATCCTATCTGTTATTAAAAGTGAAAGTCTCCAGTTATTTTGAACTCCTTCTCCTTTAGTTTCTGTCCATTTTTGCTTCATATTTTGGGGGCTCTATTGTTAGGTGAGTGAGTGTTTGCAATTGTTATTTTTTTATTGTTTATCCATCTTTTCTCTCCCTCTCTCTTAAAGTAAGTTCTAGGCCCAAGGTAGGGTTTGAACTCACCACCCTGAGATCACGAATTGCATGCTGTACTGAGCCATCCGGGAGCCCCTCCATCCTTTCCCTATTTGTGTTTTTGGATTTAAAGAAGTCTGTTGTAGGCAGCATATAGTTGGATCATTTTTTAAAAATAAATTTTGCTAATTTCTACCTTTTAATATGCAAATTTAAGCTATTTACATTTAAAGTGATTACTGTTAAGGAAGAACTTACTTTTGGTATTTTGTTATTTGTTTTCTATATGTCTTATACCTGTTTGGTTTCTCAATTCCTCTCTTACTGCCTTCTTTGTGTTTATTTTATTTTATTCTTTGTAGCATACTATTTTCATTCTTTCCTTTTTAATTTTTTAGGTTTTTTTTTTAAGTGATCACCCTGGGAATTTCAATTAATCTCTTAGACTTAAAACAATCTATTTTGAATTAGTACCACCTCAGCTACAATAGTGTACAAAAACTCTGCTCCTATCCAGTTCTATCTCTCCCTCTTTGTTATAATTGCAAATTACATCTTCTTATACTATGTTCCCATTAACATAGGTTTGTAACTTTTAAAATATGTTTGACATTTGTCTTGTTTTAAAAAGTTTATCTATTTATTTATTTAAGCAATCTCTACCCCAGTGTGGGTCTTGAACTCATGACCCTGAGGATTATGAGTCACATGCTCCTCTGATTGAGCTAGTCCGGTGCACCTGGCATTTATTTGTCTTTTAAATTATATAAGAGAAAAAGAGGAGTTATAAGCCAAAAATACAACACTTTTAGCATTTGTGTTTACTTATGTAATTACCCTTACCAGTGTTATTTCTTTGTATGGCTTTTAGTTTCTCTCTAGTGCCCTTTCATTTCTGCCTGAAGAACTCCCTTTACATTTATTGTATGGTAGGTCTACTAGCCATGAACACTCTCTGCTTATGTTTATCTGATAATGTCTTAATTTCTTTTTCATTTTTCAAGGATAATTTTGTTGGATGTAAGATTATTGGTTGACTTTTTTTTTCCTTTCAGTAATTTAAACATGTCATCCTACTGCTTTCTATAGCTTCTCCTGAGAAATCAGCTGTTAATCTTAGTGAGGACTCTTTGTACCTGATGAATTGCTTCTCCTGTTTTCAAGATTCTCTGCCTTTTGTCTTTTGACATTTTGACCTAATGTGTCTCAGTGGATCTCTTTCTTTGTGTTTATTCTTGAAGTTCATTGAGCTTCTTGGACGTCTAGACTTACATCTTACCAAATTGGGAAGTTTTCATCCATTATTCCTTCAAATATTCTTTCTGCCCGTTTTTCTCATGCCTTCTGGGTCTCCAGTTATGTGTATCTTGGTATGCTTGATGCTATGGTCTCAGTATTTGTGTACCCCAAAATGTGTTTGATAAAATCCTAACTCCCAAAGATGATGGTGTTAGGAGTTAGAGCCTTTGGGAGGTACTTATGTCATGTGGGTGGAGCCCTCTTGAAGGGGAATAGAGCTTTTATGAAAAAGGCTCCAGAGAGCTCCAATGTGAACATACAGCTGGAGGGTGCCAACTAAAGTCAGGAAGAGGGCCCTCACCTGTCCACACCAGTGCCTTGATCCTGGCCTTTCCAGTATCCAGAACTGTGAGAAATACATTTCTGCTGTTATAAGTTCCAGTTACCCAGTAAGTCTTTTGTTTTAATAGCCCAAATGGACTAAGACACTTGATTTCCTACAGGTGTCTTGGACTCTTTCCATTCTTTTTTCTTTCAGTTCCTCAGGCTGGATATTTTCAAGTGACCTGTCTTCAAGTTTGCTGATTCTTCCTGACAGTCAAATCTGCCACTCAAATTCTCAAATTTTTCCATTCCATTTATTGTAATTTTTAGCTCCAGAATTTCCGTTTGGTTTCTTTTTATAATTTATTTCTTTAAAAAAAAAGTTTTTATTTATTTTAGAGAGAGAGCAAGTGAGCAGGGGAAGGGGCAAAGGGAAAGAATCTCAAGCAGACTCCCTGCTAAGTGCAGAACCTGATGTGGGGCCTGATCTCAAGATATTGAGATCATGACCTTAGCCAAAATCAAGAGTTGGATGCTCAACCGATTGAGTCACCCACGACCCCTTTTTAATTTGTTTCCTTATTATTATTTTCTGTTTGTTGAAAGTGTTCTCCTGTTTTTCCTTTGTCCTTTGTCCATGGTTTTCATTACCTCTTTCAGCTTATTTAAGACCGTAGTCTTTATCTAGTAAGACCAGTGTCTACTTCCCCATGGTGTGTTTCTATTAATTTCTCCTATGTATGGACCATACTTGTATTTCTTTACATGTTTAGTAACGTTTTGTTGAAAATGGGATGTTTTGACTATTGTGGTGACTCTGGGAAACAGATTCTTCTCCCTCAAAGTTTGTCTTTGTTGTGTCCTGTGGGTTGTAAATATTTGTTTTGTGAATTTTCTAAACTATTTTTGTAAACTCTATTCTTTGTTGTGTCTGTTATCTAAATTTCTGTTTCATTAGCTTGTAGTCAGCTCAACATTGCTAGAGATTTTCTTGAATGCCTGGAGCCAAAAATTGAAAGGGAAGAAACTCTTGACTTTGCAGAAATGGCTCTATGTTATGGCTCTCCTTCAGTGCTTAGACTCATTACAACTCTGCCTTAGCCTTCATTTCCTGCTTGTGCCTAGCAGAGGATCAGTCAGAGGTGAAAACTTAGGGTCTTATCAGATCTTTTCTGAGCATGCTTCCTGCCCTAAGTGTGTGGCTTTCTTAATTTTTATCTTTAGGATACCAGGGCAGTTTTCAATGCCCTAATTTCCCAAAGAAACTCTCCCTCCAGCTTTTCCTCCCAGGCTTTTGATGTGTCATTTTGTCTCAATTGAAATCTTTTGCCCCAGGGGACAGCAAGTTATTATTGACCTTATAAGGTTTTTGTTTTTCTGTCCTGCATATTCTTTTTTTTTTTTTTTTTTTAAGATTTTATTTATTTATTTGACAGGCAGAGATCACAAGCAGGCAGAGAGGCAGGCAGAGGGGGCGGGGAAAACAGGCTCCCCAGTGAGCGGAGAGCCAGATGGAGGGCTCCATCCCAGGACCCTGAGATCATGACCTGAGCCGAAGGCAGAGGCTTAACCCACTGAGCCACGCAGGTGCCTCAACCTTATAAGGTTTTTGAGCAATACTCTCTGTTTAACTGCTTTTCTGACCTAAGAGAGTTCTGTTAGGTAAAGCAAAAACAAAAGACTTTGTGTCAGTTCTTTAAGTAGCTGTCAGACAGGTTAAGACAGACAACCCAAATACTTTTAGAATCAGGTCTGCTTTGCTTTCCCTGTAGCCAGGGACTAAGGTCTCATATTGAGAATGAAGGTTCTTTAAGCCCACTGTGGGCCCCAGGGAGAGGCAAGGGCAAGCAGTAACAATGCTGCAAAGTTTTCCTACTGTTTCATGTTGCCTGCTTCTCGATTCAGTGTTGACTGAGTTGCTGTAAATCTCTAACTATTTTCTGGAGTTGTGATAAAGGTGATTTTGACAATTTGTTCGATTTTTCAGTGATCTGTGGTGGGATGGGGCTTTGGAACTACCTACTCTACCATTTTCACTGATGTCACTCAACAATTTTAAAAATGATTTATTGTGATATTTTACTTTAATGAATGGATCCAGGAAATTACATTAATGTTTATACAAATTGTTAATAGGATGGAATCCGACGTGGCAGACCCAGAGCAGATACTGTCCGGGATCTAATAAATGAAGGAGAGCATTCATCCAGCAGAATCCGTTGTAACATCTGTAATAGGGTGTTTCCACGGGAGAAATCGCTCCAGGCTCACAAAAGGACTCACACAGGTAAATTGAGTAAAAGTAATACTTAAAGCTGATTTGATGTTTGGGCCTATAAATTAGTATTTTAGTTGCCTTACATTTCCTTATTGTGAAGTTTTTTCAAACAGGCATTGTATAGTCCATTTCTTTTTTGGTAGGAAGAAATGGTTTTCTCAACACTGGTACCATGTGACTTCTAAAGGTATCATGGTAATTAATCTAGTTGTCATAGGAATGTTACTGCTAAATTTAGTTCTGTCATTCTACCTACCGGAATTTTACTTGATATGCCCTTTAGCTGTCTGTATAATTGTTAAAACTGACTTGTAGGCCAAATACTAAAACACCATGTGTCAAGTGTCTAGCAGAATTTCTAGAATCTTCAGTGTGCCATCAGAATGTTTGGCCTAGCCATCTAATCTAAGGTGAAATATAATTTTTCAGAATTAAATGTGCTGTAGGTAACTATCCCAGGATTATCACATATCTCTCTTTGTGCTGACAAACTGTACTTATATTTTAAATACTGGATAGGAGTCAGGAAATAACAGAGGGGGCCCTTGTTCTTTCCATAGAGAAAGTTGGCCCCCGAGAAGGAGGCTTTTGGTTCTAATAATGGCATATTTAATAATTTGGCAAATTTAATAATTTACAGATGAGTTAACTGAGGCACCAAAAGAAAGCAATGACCACTGCCTTACAACCTCCCACACCCTTGGGTCTAGGGTGACAGCTGCCAATACAGTAGCACATGTGGCTCTTGAGCACTTGAAATTTAGCTAGTCTAATTGAGAGGGGCAGCATGTGTAAAATGTGCTTAGTATGAAAAAGAATAAACTTTGATGACTTTGATATTGTTTCCATATTGAAATCATAATATTTCAGAATATATTGGGGTAAATAAAATATATTATCAGAATTAATTTCACCTGTTCCTTTTTGCTTTTGTAATGTGGTTACTAGAAGTGGTTCACATTTTATTTCCATTGGGCAGTACTAGTCTAGAGCTTGGGCTTTTAAGGTTTAGTTGCCTCCCCCCCCACCCCGCACTGTGTTTATGGTCACCACCTGGTTTTGCTTTTTGTTTTTGAAAAGATGCATTTTAATAATATGCTAGAATATAGTTTTCTTAGCCAAATCCCTGAAAAAGGGTAAAGTTTTAATTTTGAATCATTTTAAAACTAAGGTGGCCAAGAGGTGTGGACTTTAGGTACAATTCAGGAAAACCATTACTAAATGAAATATCTGGTTTTGATAATTTGAGAATTTTTCAGATTTTTAAAAAACGAATTTTTACCTGAAATATCCCCAAATAACTGGTTCACAGGCCATAGAGTATGTGTTGCTTGTGCAGTTAAGGTTCAGGAACCTGTGGCATAACGATAAGATCCCTGAGTCTCAGGCTTGATCAACCGCCAACCTACCATGTGTCACCCCAGTACTTTCGGGTCTTGGCCTGCTATGCTGTACACGAGAGAACTGAGCCCAAGATCTGCATGGTATGGCTAAGCCCCAGTATGTAAACACTTTGTAAGAGACTTTCCTCTTACTATTTTAAATAACTCCCTGTATCTTGTGTTTTATTAATTTGTGTTTAACTATCATAATCATTTACTACATTTCTAAATAATGAGACACTAGGGAGGACTTGTTAGTGTTCTTTGGATCATTTGGGAAGGACCAGTGCATAATTGTTAATCAAAGAAAGATTTAAAAAAAAATAAGTTTAATTACGGTTGAACAAGATTTTCAAGCTACTTTCTCAAGTCTAGCACTGTGTTGTATGTATGAATTGCGATGGAGTGCAAAGTAGTATACGTCTTTGTATCAGGAGAGTGCTGGGATACATAAACAACAATGGATACTAAGTTCGCAAAGGGAAACATAGTTCAGTTATTTGGAGGTGACAGGGAGTTAGGAGGAAAGTCACTGAGAGCCTACAGTACTGGGAAGATTTGAATGGGCAGAGAAGATTGGATTTTCAAGTAGAATGAGATGACGAACAGCCTTATGGAATGAATGAATGTCAGGAGTGAAGTAAAGATAAACTCAGCCCTCTAACCCAGTAGCTACAGTGCAGTTATTAGGGGACCCCTGAAAGTCAGCAGGTCATTTTCACTTGTTCAAGGGGTGCATTAGGGTTTGCAGTGATTTGGGGGTAGTTCATATGACAAAAGCAACTGTTCCATGGCATCCCCTCCAGAAGTGATGTGCAAGGAGTAGAGGTCCACTAGGGTTCCTTCTGGGTGGGAGGGCTAAGCAGGCATGGGAGACGTAGGGATTTGGATCATGGGGAGAAAAATGACCGGATAAGCCAAAGATAACCTCAGGACTTTGCACGTGGGAACCTAAAAGCTCAAGGTCCAAGGACATTCTTTCTGTGCTTCCCTGTGGAAAGCTGCTTGGTAGCATGGAAGTGCTGCTGTTAGCATTAACCCTTGCAGCTTTGTAGAGGCTGTGACAGGTTTGGTTGTTGTTTGGAGTTATGACCTATACAGAGGTTGATTCTCTGTCCCTTTCTCTTCTCATTTTATTGTCTCAGAAATAATACATGATATTTGTCTACTTAGGTGAGAGACCCTATCTGTGTGACTATCCAGACTGTGGAAAAGCCTTTGTTCAAAGTGGACAGCTCAAAACACATCAGCGTCTTCACACCGGAGAGAAACCTTTTGTTTGTTCGGAAAATGGTATGGTGTTAAGAGTAAGGTTTATGTAATAACTGGTTTTGAGTTAAAAGTGAAATTATCTTTTACTTGAGGTTTTTTTAGGAGGAGAGATTTTGATGTAAATTTTATAAAACATCATAAGCTCTCTTTATAAATTGTGTTCCATGCTCATTTTCTGGGAAATGATTGATTTGTAAATAAAATACTCTTTTTAGATGAAAATCTTCAAGGCCAGTTAAAAACAGTATATTCAGGGGGCACCTGGCTGGCTTGGACAGCAGAGCATGTGACTCTTGCTCTTGGCTTTGGGAGTTTGAGCCCCATGATGGGCAGAGAGATTACTTAAAAAAATAATAATATATTCAGTTAGTGGTGGTAGAAAGATCTATAAAAGTAAATACAGCCTTTATGGTAGGGTTCTATTTTGGTTTTAAACTTTGTAACTATTAAATTGAAGGAAACACATCATTGTCTAAATTTTCAATAAAGGGGGAGGTTTTACCACTTTAGTACCACTGTTAGTAATTTCTTATCACTTTTCGTAAGTGATTTTCTAAATCACATCATAATTTTTCTTTTTTTTTTTTATTAAAGATTTTTATTTATTTATTTGACAGAGAAATAGTACAAGTAGACAGCGTGGCAGGCAGAAGGAGAGGGAGAAGCAGGCTCTCCCCACAGAGCAGGGAGCCAGATGCGGGGCTCAATCCCAGGACCCTGGGATCATGACCTGAGCCGAAGGCAGCTGCTCAACTGACTGAGCCACCCAGGCGCCCCTCACATCACAATTTCTTGCGATGTTTTCCTTATGCTTATTTTTACATAGTTATACCTGAAATTCAGTATAGTTTTGTGCTGTGGTTCTGTGGTTCTCTTGATTGTTGTCGGTTGTTACAAACGTCTATACCCTTCTCCAGAAACCAGTATTGCACTGTATGTTAACTAACTAAAATTTAAACTAAAAGGAAAAAAAAACCCAAAACAGGTGTTTACACACTTCCATTTGCTTAAGCACGTACACAATGATGGCCTCAATGTTGGATATTGAGTGTTTGTTTTTTGTTTTTTTTTAAAGATTTTACTTATTTATTTGACAGACAGAGATCACAGCTAGGCAGAGAGTCAGGCAGAGAGAGAGGGCGAAGCAGGCTCCCTGCTGAGCAGAGAGCCCAATGCGGGGCTCGATCCCAGGACCCTGAGATCATGACCTGAGCTGAAGGCAGAGGCTTTAACCCACTGAGCCACCCAGGTGCACTTGAGTGTTTGTTTTCAGAATTCATTTATTGCCAAAAAGCTGAGAGGCACGGCTTCCTCAGCTAAAATAAAGCTCAATACAGCTTAGTTCATCTTATGGAATGTTTCCTTATAATAGATTCCAAGAATGGAATTCTTAAGTCAGAGGTTTTGACCATTTTTGTTAATAAATCACTTTCTGGTGGGGTTGATGGATTTATGTTGCCATGACTAAGAGGTGAAGGAATTGCTTCCCCTTAGGGTAGTTTTTCTTTTTTTTTTTTCCCCTCCTCCAAGTTATAGAATGCTAAATCCCATGGTCTTAATTTACTTTTCTTGGATACCAGGGAAACTGAACATTTTCCATGTCTGCTGGATGTCCAGATTCTGATTAGTGTTTCCCTCTATGTTTTGCAGGCTGCCTAAGCAGATTCACCCATGCAAACCGCCACTGTCCGAAGCACCCTTATGCCAGGCTGAAACGGGAGGAGCCCACAGACGCTCTCAGTAAGCACCAGGCTGTGGACAACCAGGCTGCCGCCGAGTGGTTGGCCAAGTAAGGTTCTCTCTGCACTCCACTGCAGAATACCGCCCAGCACATGGGTTGACGTGGGGAGCTTCGACAGTTCTCTCATTTTAAATAAGTTGCTTTTGTACACATTTTATAAAATAACGTGGAATAGTGCTTTATTTCCTTAAACTGCAGAATTGCTAGGAGGGGCACGAGGATCTGGTGTGTGATAGACAACAAATACGTGATACTAATTAGTCTGAGTGCCCAGCCCACAATTTATTATAAAAGCAAAATTTTCTTCATTTTCTAAGAATGTTTTATGTGTATTGTATTCCACAGTGCAGCCTGTCTTCCTTTTCTTTGTATCACATATGTGCTGATTATTACTGGGATACAGGCTAGAGGTTCTTCTAAAGTAAAGTTCTACAAAGCACCCAGCTTAATATTTTTTTGAATGGCAACAAGGGGCCAGTATAAAAAAAAAAATTTCTCCAAAGGTATTTTGATTTGAGAAGTCGTTTTTTGTGTACAAACCAGCATGAGCTGTTTGGGACCCTCCTACTTCTTTGGATTCCTCTGCACTTAGGATAAAGTCTGGAATCCCTCTGCTGTAGCTCTGCCTTCCCCTGGCAACGCACCTGTCCTCAGCTACGTTGGCCTCCTGTGTGTCAGCACCACTCACACTGTGGCTCCCAGGCCTCTGCTCCCTGTTCCCTCTGCCCAGAATGCCGCTTTCCTCTTCATTTAGCCACTCTGCTCTTTCTTCTTTTCTTACTGGGGTCAAACATCGCTTCAGGAAGTTCTTCCCTAACCCACTCGCTAACCCCAAGAACAAACAAGGTTAGACCAACTTAATAGATGCTTTTACAACACACTGTGTTTTCTCTTTCAACACCTTCATCACACATTTATTTGTTCAGTGTCTATCCTCCCTGCTGGACCGGAAGCTCCACTTGGGGAAGCATTACCTTTGTCTTATTTACTGCATCACTTCCTCCCTCCTTCCTCCTGCCTGGCATCTGCCGCCCCATTAACTCTAATTTTGTCCAAGTCAGAAACCTCTTGGTCATTTTGCCTTTATCCTTCTCCCATCTACTCAGTGACAGACTGATGGATTCTACTCAGTGTAAAGTCTAAACCCTTTATTATGGCATTTGAAGTCCTTGATTGCCTGGTCCCTGCCAACCTTCCTAAGCTTCTTTGCCGTTCTCTGTTCCTAGTTGTCCTTCAAGTCATACTGAACTGTTCGCATGTCTTTTTTTATGCCTTTGAGTATTGACCACATTTTTCCAGTTTGAGATATCTGGATTTCCTGAAATCTAGTAGTTGTATTAATTTTGTGTGTATGATTTTAAAAACAGTTTTACTGAGGTATAGTTGACATGTGATAGATTGTATACATTTAAAGTGTACAGTTTGATATGTTTTGACATATGTGTACACCTGCAAAACCATCATCACAGTCAAGATGGTGAACATATCAGTCACTTCCAAAAGTTCCCTCATGCCTCTTTGTAATTCATCACTCCTGCTCTTCTCTGCTTTCTTGCTCCCCAGACAACAGTGATCTGCTTTCTGTTACTGTATACTAGTTTGCATTTTCTAAATTTTTATACATATGGAGTCATACAGTATGTACTTCTGTTGTCTGGCTTCTTTTACTCAATGTAATTATTTTGGAATTCATCCACGTTGTGGACTGTACCTGTAGTTTATTTTTTTTTTCAGTTTAGTTTTTCTTTCTTTCTTGAAGTATAGTTGGCACTCAGTGTTACATTAGTTTCAGGTGTACAACATAGTGATTCGACAAGTCTATGCATTATGTTTGCTCTCCTCAAGTGTACTACCATCTGTCACCCTACAACTTGAGGTTCATTCCTTCTTACTGTTGAGTAGTAATCCATTGTGTGAATACACCTCAACTTATTTATTTATTCACCTGTGGCTGGGCATTTGGGTTGTTTTTGTCTATTACAAATAAAGCTATGTAAATATACAAGTCTTTGTATGGGACATTTTTGTATGAGTGCTACTGTTCTTTAAATATACCTTTCTTCACTTACTTCAAGGTGGAACATTTTTTCTAGGGAATTATCAGTTAGCTATGTAATAGAAAAATGGTGATGTCTCTTAAATTTTTGAATTAGTTCTATGTGTTACAGATACTAATCTATCATATTCTGTGGGTTTCAAGTCTCATACTTACCTCTGTCAGAAGTTACCATCTCTCTGTGAATAGGATAAATAGGTTTCTAATGATTAGTCTACTTTTTTTTAAAGTTTATTTCTTTATTGAGGTACAAGTGACAAATAACATTTGTTCTACTATTGTGTATTTTACTGTAGTCCACTTCAGATATGATCTTAAAGGCAGCTATCCTTTTTTGGCAAAAACCCATGACTAGGGAATGGAGTGGAAGACCCATAACTGCCCATTTTTGATTTTTGGAAATCTGAGCAAGTCCCTCAGTTTCTGGACCCTGAACTTTTCCCTTTATAATGGGAAATACATGTAGTACGTGTGAAATTCCTTTATAGCCTTATAAACTAAAACACAGAAAATAATACTGTGGTAAAGAACCTGTTTTCAAAAGAAAAATAAACATTTGAAAAGGTCATATAGACATACAGCTAATGTGCATGCATTTCATATAGGTATTGGGAAACGAGAGAGCAGCGTGCCCCCACCCTGAAAGGAAAGCTCGTTCAGAAGGCCGATCAGGAGCAGCAGGACCCTCTGGAGTACCTTCAGTCTGATGAGGAGGACGACGAGAAGCGTGGTGCCCAGCGCCGGCTGCAGGAGCAGCGGGAGCGCCTGCACGGTGCCCTTGCACTCATAGAGCTCGCCAACCTGACTGGAGCGCCACTCCGCCAGTAGCCTGAACACTGACTCTTCCACTGTACAAAAGTACTGCCCAGCGTACTTAAAAAGTAGATCCTTGGGCATAAGCTAAGCACCTTATTTGCTTATCATAGGCTGCTATTCTGTAGAAATTTATGAAGAATGTCATCGCCCCATAATATGGGGTGAGAGAGAATTGCACTTTTTTTATATGGTAATGGATTTGTTGTAAAGTTTAAAATATTTTGTAAATATGGGACTTCTAGTACAGGGTAGAAAAGGATATATTGTGGGAAGCTAGATTTTGCAAGTTTAATGCATTCATTGGAAGCAGTTCTCACAGGAAGCACTTTCTGAATAAGACACTTGTATGAAAAAACAGAATGGTACATGTAGCCAAAGAACGTTGAAATAGATTATTTATAAGATCATTTTTAACGATGTATATTAGTATGTTTAACAATACTGTAAACACTGAAGCAAGCCAGAAAGTATAAGATGCGTGTGTAAGATATGTATTTTTAAATTGCAAAATAGTGTGCCTAATGAGAAGTGGAAAACTGACTATTTTGGAAGACATTCTAAGTTATAGACTTTGGAAGAAGAGATTTTTGAGGATCTTGGTGAGATGCACAGTAGTTAAGAATTTTCAGAATTGGAGTCCTATCAGTCTTATTCTATCTTTCTGAGGCTTTACAATTCACTATGATATTTAGGTTTGAAAAGCACTTGGCATCCCTATTATGTTAACTTGGGAACTTTTGCACATTGCATATTTCTCATTTGCTGAAATTGAGTGATTAATCTTGCAAAGTCTAGATAACTTGGTAATTTTTTTAAAAATTTTTTAATATTATGGACCCTGTAATGAGATTTGGCACTTGGATTTTATTAATAAAAGGGACATCTACAGGGTGGTTCTGTAGTGAAGTTTTAGATCTTTTGTTAGCAAACACTAAATTTTAATTGTACTGCTTGTTTAGAATTATTAGCAAATGGAAGCCTCCTATTTATATTTTCAGTGCATAAAGCCACCTTCTTGCTTTACTTCAGAATAACATGCCAAGCTATTTTGTGTTCACTAAATTTAGTTATCAGTTAAACACTGCAGAAAATAGTAGCTACTCAAATAAGTAGGTTTCTGGAATAGTTTCAACTGCAAGTGTGTTAACTTGTGTGGTGGTTTTAAGCCATTTTTCCAAATGGATGAAGTTTTTAAATACCACTTTATGTACTGAAGCATAAACAGAAAAATTAAGACCTGAGCAGTTCACCTCCTTTATGTATAGGCATAAACCTCCATCATTTAAGCTTTTGTTAACGCAGAAACTAAATGACATGCATAGCATGGTAATTTGATAGATTGTTTAATTGGAGTAAACGTCAGAGTAATAGAGGGAAATATGGGCTCTCCAGCGCCGTTTTTTTTTCTTTTTTGAAGTTGTAGCCTATGGATGTAGTTTAAACATTATCTAAAATGTAGGCTTCTTTATCCAAAAATTCCAGTGTGTTGCAGTACACAGGTAGTTTAAAATACATAGCAATGGGGAAGGGGTGGTATGTAAATGTCTTGAAAAGAAGCAAAAGTGTGAAAGATGATAGTAACAAATAATGTGTGTGAATGAGGACATACTTTAAAAATGTAATTCCTCTGTACAGTAAATTACAAATCTTGAGGGATTTTTTTTTTGTAATAAGAGAATTTATATTTGTAATGGTCTAAGAATTTTGTCTGTAATCTGGTATATAGAATTTTAACTTGGAGCACTTATAAGCACAGTAAGAGAGTCTGTAGCATCAGAATTTTCATGGGTTAGGTTTCAGCATTTTCTCTAGAATTTTTTCTCTCAAATATAACTTAAATGAACTATGAAAAGCAACACTCATCGTCTTGGGAAATTTAAAATTTGATGAACTTACCTAAAGAAGAAAGGGCAGTAAACTCGTATTAAAAAATACAAATACTTCCCAATTCATGAATAATAAAATTTAAGGCCCTCAAAAGTAAGGGGTTTTGTTTGTTTTTCTGGTCAGCTTTTGTCAACTATAATAGTTATATTCACAAACATTTTTTATTTGTATAATTGGAAGTTTAAGAAATTGTAACTACTTACTATAGAAATATTTAAAATGTTCTTTTTTGATATAAGCTATATACTTGGACAAAATACATTGGCATCTAAAATTTGAGGTGTGTTAAGACTGCTTTTTGTTTTAAAAATGTGGTTTACATTCAAATTTTTGAAGTGTTTTATGCTTCATATGGCTCAGTTGTAGTTTGGCAGAGGTAACAGCATAAGAATAAACATGCTGTAATTTTAAAAGATGCTTTGAATAAAAATTTATTTTAATTTACAGTTTAAAGTACATTTTCATTCTTGAACCCTTTATACTTTGTCTTCCTATCAACAGTATGATGACCATAATATAAAACAGTTAAAAAAGTAGAAACGTCATCTACAATCCTATATCCTCCCATATTCTTATTTGGTGTGTTTTATATTTCATTTCCAGTCTCCTTCTAGGCATCTGCTTAGCATAGTGAAATCATAGTATGAATTGCTTTTTCCTACTTTAAAATTATGGCCTTTTAGAGTGTACATATTAATTTAACTTCCTCATTTGGTTCATTGTTACAGTGTTAAAAATACACTGGTAGGGATAAGTATTGCCAGCTCCATTCTAGGCCTTAAGGTAAGGGTGATCAGGGACTGGGATTTTATTTCACTTATATTCAGGATGTGTTGAATGTGGTCACCTCCCTGAGAAGCCACTCGGGGGCCTGTTTACTTTCTGAAGAGTCAAGCAAGTTGGTTTAATTTTGTCATAAGTTATCTTTAGTTATATACTTGTAATAGGCAAGGTTCAGCCTGTCTAGGCTTTAAGCAAAAGAATTTCACACGCAACTCTTCAGTGTGAGTTGTGATTTAAACAGAGTTAGGATGAGATTTGGACAGTCACTTCAGATCCTGGAAGTATGTGTATTGTAGAAGCAAATTAAATGGAAATATGATTAAGGCTGTACTAGAAGTGAGTTTACTGTTTTGCAGCCAAAACTTATTTGGAGACTCACTGGAAACTAAATTGATCTTGAAATTATCCAAAATGACGTTAAGTTCAGAGATTTTGTTTCAGCTGGAATATGATTTTATTTTCTATTTCATTTCATCCATTTATTTTTAAGGAGTCTCCATGCTGGGCAGGGCTTGAATTCAAGACTGAGATCAAGACCTGAGCTGAGATCAAGAATCACCTGCTGAACCGACGGAGGCACCCAGGCACCCCGTTTTGTTTTGTTTTGTTTTTTAAAGATTTTATTTATTTATTTGACAGAGATCACAAGTAGGCAGAGAGGCAGGCAGAGAGAAAGAGAGAAGGAAGCAGGCTCCCTGTTGAGCAGACAGCCTGATGTGGCCCTCCATCCCAGGACTCTGGGATCATGACCCGACCTGAAGGCAGAGGCTTTAACCCACTGAGCCACCCAGGTGCCCCCCAGCTGCCCCATTTTCTATTTTAAAATGGTCTCAACATGTGTTTGCTTTTTTTATTTTGGGTAATGTGGACTCTCACTTCCTGCCTTTCTTAGAGCTAGTTATTTGTTACAAGTTCTGCTTTAGTTCTTGTAAGTGCTGAAAATGTTCATGGTTGTTCAGTGCTTACAACAGAAAAACAATTGTATGGCATCAACAGTTGGTGCAAACATTTCTTTCATTTGAAATTTTTAGCTTTTCTAAAAAACTCAAATTTCAGATTTTTAAAGTGGATTATTGAGAATGAAAATATGGGACACTTATTTGAAAAAATGCTACATCAGGTAGAGTGTGGTCCAAGTAGGCAGTTTTGGGAGGCTCTCCTTCAAGGAACAGCCAACACTGAAGCAGGTTGCTATTCGCTTAGGAAAGCAGTGGGTCCTGAAGTTAAGGAGGGAACCAAGCATAGAGCAGCTAGAGGCAAGAAAAGCCTTGAGACTTTGCACCCGCCTCAACCCCTGTTACTCCTACGTATTTACTGGAGAGAAATGAACACAGACGTTCACACAAGAACTTGTACATTAAGGTTCATGGAAACATTTTGTAAAAAAGCCCTAAATAGGAACAACCAACATGCCCATCAACTGGTGAATGGATAAACTGGTCCTACTCTGTAATTTAAAGAAACTACAAGGGCGGTGGCAAAAGACATAAATGGTAAAAGCCTTGAAGGTACTTACTAATATGAAATTTAAATAAAATTCTAGAAGAGGCCAATCTAACTTGGCAACAGAAATCTGAATGAGATGGGATTGCCTTCAATGGGCACGAAAGGCACTATTTGAGGTGATTGGAAAGGTGTTGATTTGGGTAGTTACAAGGGTGTACACACCAAACAACGAACGGTGGGCTCGTGAAACCTGCATTTTCCTTTACGTAAATTATACGTTAAAAAGTGTAGGGGGAAGAAAAAAAGGCAAAACGCACGCTCAGGCTAAACGGAAGCCTTGCTTCCCAGGAGGGCAGCAGGGGACGGGGAAGGGCGGCTCAACTCTCCCAGGCCCATTCCTGCAGTCCGTCGGTGGCAGCGAGGTCCGCGCCGCAGCCGCTGGGCGCTCTCCGGAGGCGCGCACCCGGGGCGGCCGCGGCCCTTCCTGTTTCGGCCGCGCCCTCTGGCGGGCCGGCCGCAGGCGGGGACGGAACTGGGGCGGGGCGGGCCGGAGCGCCGCGAAGGGCGGCGGAGAGCTGCGGGCTCCCGGCTGCGGGGGCGGGCGGCCGGCCGTGGGACATGACGGCCGGCCTCCAGGCCGAGGGCGCGGACCTCGACCCCGCCTCCGCGCGGCTGCCCTCCCGGCTGGCCAAGCTGCTGTCGGCGCTTTTCTACGGGACTTGCTCCTTCCTCATCGTGCTGGTCAACAAGGCACTGCTGACCACCTACCGGTGAGGAGGACCTCAGGGGGCCGGGCGGGGGCCGCGGGGCGCCCGGTCCCGGGACCTTCCGGCTCCCGGTGCCGCGCGAGGTCCCGGGGCGAGGGAGCGGCGGGGCTGCCCCTGCCCTCCGAGCACTTCGGCCGCGCCCGGGTCCGCGGGCTGGCTGGGACGGAGAGCGCGGAGTCTCCCTGCTGACTCCAGTGCCAACAGCGTCAGCTGGGACCTTCGCAGGTTTCTAAAATCCAGACCCAAACCTAACAGTCATTTGCCCCCGTCTCCACTGCTTACCGCTGCTGTAGACACTGCATAGCTGTGCTTGCAGAGCTACACCCCAAAGAGAGCTACACCCCAAAGAGAGCTACACCCCAAAGCTTTCCAAGGTACCGGCGAGCAGGGACAAGTGATCTGAATGCGAACCTTAAAGGAGAATAGTTCTCTACGCAGATCTAGATGTTCCACCATCAGACGAGTCCTGAGCCGGGACGTGCCTTGTTTGGTCTTTCATTCTCAAATTACCAGTGCATTGGGGAAAAACAATGAGAAGTTCACATGATGTACTTTTTTGGATTAGTGTGTCCTAAGCCAGATTTGTGGTTCCTTGAGCCTATTTATAAGGACTAGAAATTCCTGTTTAATTCTGCTATCCTTACAGCAGCACTGAAAGCACTGTGGATTTAGATCCAGCTAAACCATCTAATAGCTGTGCCTCTTGGGCTACACTCATAGTGAGCAGTTTTCTTAGAAGCCAAAGATGGATAATTACAAGCCTGTTAAGTACCTCCCAGAGCTTTGCAGGAGCTGCCATAAGTGAGAGGGCCTTTGTAAACCATACTGTGCTGCAAAACCGTGAAATCATAGTTTTATAAAGAGCTTAAAAGAGAGCTTAAAAGAGGTGGGGGTTGGCTCCTGAGCACCTACTATGTGCCAAGCCCATTGCAGGCACCACGGAAGCAGCTGTGATCAGCACAGAAACACCACCCCCCACCTCTCACCCCCTCCCTCCCATCCCCCACCCCTCCCACCCCCCACCAGAGACTCTATACTAGTGGTAGAAACTGGAAAGAAGTGGGTTCATGAATAATCAGGGTGATTTCAGGTGTGGTATGAGAATTCCTGGGGTGGAATGGTTGGCACGAGAGCCTTCAAAGCTGAAGGGAATGTGAAGAAGGGGGCATGAGTTTGGTCTGCTGGAGGAAATGAGTGAGCACATGGAAGAAGGTGAGAGAGAAATGAGGGGGGAGGGAGGCAGGGAAGGCAGGATCAGATCCTTCCTTCATTCAATAATAATTATTAAGCACCTGTTATGGGCCACTGTTCTAGGCACCTGGGATATAGGAATGAATAAAGCAGATCAAAATCCCAAATGTGATGGAGCAAATATCCATCCTCCTAGAGTTTACATGGAGCTTTCTAGTGAATCAGTAAATAAACTGGTAGAATTTATGTTACCTCAGATGCAGTTGTGTGGTCAGGAGAAAAACGTAAGGCAGGAAAGGGAGTTAGGGAGTGTGGGCATGGGAAAGAGTTTGCTGTCTCATGTGATCAGTGAAGCTTTGCTGAGGAGGTGACATGCCAGCCAAGAGTTGAGTGAGGTGAGGGAAATGGGAGAAGAACATTGCAAACATGAAAGAGAGAGGTGTTTGGGTGGGGATGGTACTAGATGAGGTCCCAGGGTAATGGATTGCTATATCATATAGGGCTTATGAAGCTGCCATGCGAACCACTAGAAGGTGCTGATTGGAGGAGTAACATGAACTAAATCCCTCTGGCTGCTGTGTTGAGTGGAGATATTGGGGGACCAAAGAGGAAGAAAGGAAACTAGGATAAATAGTTTTAATTTTGGTCTAAATGCATTTGGGAGTCTCTTAGAAGGTTTTAGCATGAGGAGTGATATGACATGATTTGTGGGATTAAAAAGATTTCTTTGGCTGGTGGGTGGTTGGAGAACTGATGGCATTGGAATCAGGGAGAGGAGCTAGGAAGCAATTGCCATTTTCTAGATAATTCTAAGAGATGGCTTAGGAGTGGGGTGAGGGGTAGCGGCAGATATGGAGGAAGGGAGAGATTTGGGATATTTTTTTGGTGATCCTACAGACCTACTAGGTCTCGACCACTGTGTTGCAAGTATGCTTGCTGGTTGGTGTCCATGGAAAACCCAAATGCTGCCTCAAAAAAATTAGAATGAGCATATAACTAAACCGGTATCATTTAACACATACAAGGCAAGCTAAGTGAAGAAAAAGAAAACTTAAGACATCTATGATAAGAAAAACAAGAGGATAGTATTAAGAGGGTTGTTTGGGAATGCTTGACAATTATGTTGGATGAAGTTTGAAGGTCAGTCTCTATTTTCTGCCCTTGAATGAGCTGTGTGCTCTCTGGCCATGGCAGTTCACTGCCTCCAAAAACATGTGTCTTGTTGGAAGCAGGGACCAGTAAACACTGGTTAAGTGCTTTGAAGATGAAAGGCAGTATCCAACTGGAAAGAATTATTATTATATGAGACATCTCATGCTCTAGTCTTTCCATCTTTAAAATTTTGAGTTCCATGATTGAAGGAGGAAATGGAGTTTTTGTCTCTGCAAGGCAAAACTCTTTCAATCCTTAGAAGTAAATATTTCACATTTCCATAATGTAATATACAATCGGAGAACCCTGTTCCAATAACATTGTTTGTTCTCTCATCTCAAAATGCTTTAGGAGCACATTTTTGAGGGGAAGAGGGTTGGGTTAATTTTGTTACAACAATAAACCATAGAAATCTGATCCAAACATTAGCTGTTTGAAGATAGAATGTTGCGTTGTGGAATAGAAGGAAGGACATTTCAATAATTACCTAATCCACAGGGTCATGAGAATGTAGCTCAAGGGATGTTTTTTCTTTTCCATTTTGAACAGATTGTTTCTGTTTGGGGTATAAGACTGATGGGTGGTCTTTGTTCTTTGTTTTGTTAGACTTCTTTGGTTCATTGTAATGCTAGATTTATCTGATTGCACAGAGAGGTCTTTGAAGGATGTGAACTCTCAGACCCTGTTAAGGTGAGAGGGGAAAAGCAAGGTCATCTAAGAGTCTGTGGCCAGTTGATTACACCAGTGGGTCTTTGGAATCAGATTCATGAGGGGTTTTGGTTGTCATTGTAATATACTGTTCTCTATGACATGCACGAATTTATAATGGAGCTTAATAAAAATATAGAGCTTAGTTGTATTTAGTTTGACAAACATTTGCTGTATGTTTTCTTTATGCATCCCAGGACTTTGGGGATTATTTAGCACAGTGCTTTCCAAACCTGCCTGGGAGTGTGAATTACTTGGAGAGGTTTTTATAAAAGCTATTGAATTGAGTCTCCAGCGGTGGGAACAAGGAAATTCATATTAAAAACAAAACCAACTTGAAATTTTCTCTTACTCTGATGAAAACCTGCTCTCTCCTGAAGATGCAGATCCCTTGGCCCCTGAAAGCAGCTGGATCTTGGTCTCACCCTGGGTCTGGCCAGGAGGTGAGGTTGGATCCTCATGCTTCCCCAATGGCCAGGCTCCATGTTCTCCAAAAAGTAGAGGGACCACTGCTTGTGGTCCTCTACAGTGGCTCTTGAGCTCCTGTCACTCACGTAACAAAGTGTCCTGGTCTTCCTCTCCCTCTGGACTGTCATCAACCTTGGAGACTTCAGGATCCACGGATGAACCCTCTCAGCCAGTGCAGCCCCACTTCCTGCAGTCACTCCCAGGGCCATGTGCTTGGCGTGACCTGCCAGGTGTCCACACCCCACCTCGCCTCCAGCTCGTGTCTGCACATCCCACCCTGCGAGTCCTTCCTCAGGCCCACTGGGGCGGCATTGGTCCAGCACAGCCTACCACCTGCCTCTCTCCTTCAGCACGGAGCAGCGCAGACTGTTGTGGGAGGAAAACCACTTCTGAGCTTACTGGGTTGTCTTTAAAAGGATGATCATGAAGCTCAACCGGCTTTCCTTCCTACCCCGTCGTTTCTTCTGGGGGCTTGCTTTCCTCATCTCAGAAGCAACTCCTTCATGCTTTCTCCTTTGTCCTAAAACTTCCCACACACCCCACCCTCCACTCCCCATCTCTGCTACTGTTGAGAAAGTAGAGGCCATCAAAGAGGCCCCCACCTTGCCCTTGCTGGTAGGATGTAGGGACTCTTTTGTCCCTGTGGAAGGTCTAGCTCTCCTCTTCCGTAGGTCTGCTCCTCCAGCTCCTTCTGTCTCCTCCTCTGTTCTGCCCTTGGAAACACGTTCAGGTTTCTCAAGAGAAAATAACCCATACCTGATCCCTCACGGACCCTCATTTCTCTGTTTCTTTCAGAGTCTGACTCTTGAGAAGTTGTGTACCCATGGTTTTTACTTCCTCACATTCACTAGTATAAGAATTCATTTAAAAAATTGGAGGTTATTGGGGTGCCTGGGTAGCTCAGTCATTAAGCAATTGCCTTCGGCTCAAATCATGATCCCAGAGTCCTGGGATCAAGCCCTGCATCAGGCTCCCTGCTCCGCGGGCAGCCTGCTTCTCTCTCTCCCCTCCCCTGCATGTGTTCCCTCTTTCGCTGTGTCTCTCTCTGTCAAATAAATAAATAAAATCTTCAGAAATTTAAATACAGAAATGTACAAAGAAGATAATAATAATTATATTCCCACCTACCTAGAATCAATATCCTCAAATATCTACTAAAAACAATTTTTCTGAAAGTAAGCTCTGTGGCCAGTGTGGGGCTTGAACTCATGAACCTGAGATCAAGAGTCACATCATCCACTGACTGAGCTAGCTACATGCCTCTCTCTCTCCGTTTTTTTTCCCCCCAAGAAAAGTCATTCTGGCATGGTCGTTATAAAGAATTCAAACAAAAGAAAAATATTAAGGTGAGATTTTATTTTATTTATTTTAAGAAATACCACTAAATACTTAGTATTTTAGAAATACTAAGAAATATGTACTAATATTAAGGTGGCTCAGTCATTAAGCGTCTGCCTTTCGCTCAGGCCATGATCCCAGGGTCCTAGGATCCAGCCCCTCATGGGGCTCGCTGCTCGGCAGGAAGCCTGCTTCTCCCTCTCCCTCTCCCCCTGCTTGTGTTCACTCTCTTGATGTCTCTCTCTGTCAAAGAAATAAATAAAATATTAAAAAAAAACAAATACTATGAAGATGTATAGATTACTTTAAAAAAATATATATATATATCTTAGATATAGATATATAGGCATATATCATATATATATATATATATATATATATATGTATATTTATCCATTCATTTGTCAGTGGACATCTGGGCTCTTTCCATATTATGGCTATTATGGACATTGGAAAGAAGGGCTTTAATTTAATTATTTTTTCAAGTATCACCTAGGTTCCCCCCCCAGCACTTTTCATGGTGAAAAGTTTCAAGCATACAGAAAAGTGGAAAGCAGACATCACTGAAATGCAGTAATGAACATCATATTATATTTGCTTCCCCCCAGCCATTGAAAGTAAGTTGCAAAATCATGATTCTGCACTCCAATTTTTGGGGTGCATATATTTTAGCATGTCTCTCCTGAAATAGTCTCCTGCATAGTATCATTTTTGCTTTTAACAAATTTTAATGATTTCCTAAAGTAATCTAATACTAAATATATAATCATCCCAGTTGTCCCAAGATATTTGGGACATTTAAATGTCCCAAACATTTAAATCAAGATCCAAGCAGGGTTCATGAAATGCATTGAGTTATGTCTTTATAGTTTATTTTAATCTAGAAAAGCTCCTCATCCCATTTCTTCCCCATGATACTGACTTTTTGAAAAGCCTGGGCCAGGTATTTTATAAAATGTCCCACATTATGGATTGTCTGGTTTATGTTTTGAAGGCTTGCTTAGCTTATTTCCCAACTGAACTTTAGATCTAAGAGCTTGATTACATCCAGATTAAACCTTTTTGGCAAGGGTGGTGCATTGCTGACCCTGTGAACTCTTATTGTATCATTTCGGGGCTGTGCCACTATTTGTCATGTTGGCTGCTTTTGAAGGCTTATTTAAGTGGGGATTGCAAGTTGCACATATGCATGAAATTTAAGGTTTTTTTTAAGATTTTTAAAATTTATTTATCTGACAGAGATCACAAGTAGGCAGAGAGGCAGGCAGAGAGAGAAGGGGGGAAGCAGGCTCCCCGCTCAGCAGAGAGCCCAATGCAGGGCTCGATCCTAGGCCCCTGGGATCATGACCTGAGCTGAAGGCAGAAGCTTTAACCCACTGAGCCACTCAGGCGCCCCATGAAATTTAGTTTTAACTGAATTTCAGATATAGATTTCTTCACTACAAGTGTTAGTATTTCTTAAAAGATCCCTCTGAGATGAAGAGGTCATGAAAAACATTAAGAAGTTGATCTCATCAGCACATCTGGGTGGCTCAGTTGGTTCAGTGTCTGCCTCCAGCTCCAGTCATGATGGGCTGGGGCCCCACATCAGCTTCCCACTCAACGGGGAGTCTGCTTGTCTCTCTTCTGCCGCCCCTCCCTCTGCCTCTGCTCTTTCTCTCTCTCTCTCAAATAAATAAATATAATCTTTAAAAAAAAAGTTGATCTCACCATGTTTATTTTGTAAACACGTTTCAGTTTAAGACTTCCCTGCTATGAAGGATGAAGATACTTGCGTGGTTCTTCCTGTCTCCCCTCCTCCCCTCCACATCTTGTTTTATATGAAGCAAACTGTTGTGTAATTATAATCCCACAGCTGTTTGAATCTGTTCTATATTTAAATGGAGATAGTAATCAGCAACAGCCTTTTTACCACAATGTCTCCATTCCTAAATTTATTGTTTTGATTTCATTCCTAATTGGTGGATTCCATTGTCAGGTAGGGTTTTTTTTGTTTGTTTTGTTTTGTTTTTGTTTTTGTTTTTTGTTTTTTAAATGGATTTCATGGCTGCTGCTTTACTTAGGTTGAACAGTCTTTATTTATTTATTTATTTATTTTAATTTATTTAACAGAGAGACAGCGAGAGAGGGAATACAAGCAGGAGGAGTGGGAGAGGGAGAAGCAGGCTTCCGGCAGAGCAGGGAGCCCGATGTGGGGCTTGATCCCAGGACCCTGGGATCATGACCTGACCTGAAGGCAGCCGTGGAACATTCTTTAACAGTGTGCTTTTAGATCTGAAGTTTCAGTCTATTTATTTTCCTCACGTCAACGAATTTGCTTTTTATCTTTGAATCATTTTCTTTCTTTCTTGAATTCCTTCTTTTCCTGTATCATATTTTCCCCTAACCTGGCCTCTTTGTCTGTCTTCTGTAAGCCTGTTCTTGTCGTTTCACCGTTTATGTTGCTGTCTTGTGATCTCATTTGCAGTGACAGGTTGTGTTCTCTGGCAAGCAGACTCTGAGAGGCGGAGGAAGTATACTGAGGAGAGCTCTTAGGATGCACTCCTGAGGAAGAGTGAGGGAAGTCAGATTTGGCTGTAATGCAAGCACAGCAAAGCCTGATCCCAGGGGCTCTGGAGCTGAGATGGCCCAACAGACCAATCCTGAATTGGGGTAGGGACCCCGGCCTTTTACACTTTTTGTACAGACCAGAGATCGGAATGCAGGAGACTCACAGGGAGGGTGTTTGCTATTTGACAAGGTAGCCTTGCTCAGCTGAGGATGTTCTTGGGCAACTGGGGGAATGAATGCTCAGTCCAGAGGGGGTCTGGATGGCAAAAATGGCATCCAGCCCTTGGAATTAGTTTTATTCTCCTGGTGGTACTGTCCATTCATTCCATTTCCTTTGATAAGTTAAGTCCATTCTTTACTGTCTTCTTGCCCTGGCTGAAATCGGTGACATACAGATTGGGGGGTGTAGGTGTGTGGGGGGTGGTATTTCCCTCTATTGTAGTAGCCTGAGGAATGGTTGGGAGACAGTGCAGTGCTGCCTTGTTAAAAATGGTGTGAAAGGCTAGGAGATTCCCTGCAAGGACATAATATCCAGAACCCTAATACTGAGAGACCAAAAAAAAAAAAAAAAATCCATTCATCCAAATGAAGTCAAATGCTACCAAACAGGTCACATCATAGGATCCATCTTTCTCCTCCTCTTTTCACACTGGTTACTGAAGCTCTCAAGGAAGATTATGACAATCCTGCCATCATGACCATAAACACAGACCTTCTCAATACTATTAGCTAAGCTCGAAAGCTCAAATACTGGATAAAGTTCACTGAGAAAGTATTTACACATAAGAAGTTCTAATAAAAATATAGTAATTACATTAATAATCCACAGAATATAAGGTTCCAAGGACCTGAGTACTCACTGTTAGGTACAGAGAAACCCTACTTACCGTTCCATATAACTGCACATTCTGAGCACATTTCTTGCATATTGTATTGGTTTTACTGTTAAGGAAAAAAGACACACACACACACACACACACAAAATGGTGTGAAGCAGGGGTCAGGATTGTGTATCTAAATTACCAGTGCCATTTGTTGAAAGACCATCTTTCCCACACTGCTCTACACTATCTTCTTTGTCACATATGTGTGTATCTGTCCTCATCTCTGTTCTCGAAACTTTTAGAATCTCTAAAAGTTAGAAAGAGAGTTTTATTCAAGTCCAAGTTAGGATAGCTGCCTGAGAAACATGCTCTTCACAAGGAAGAAAGAGCTCCAGAGAATGAACAGTTTTTACAGGGTTATATATTGTTTTTATGTCTTGTAAAAGCTCAAAAGATTATATATGAACATACAGGCAAGAATCACAAGTTTTTTCTTCTCATCAATTGTAATCTTTAATTAGCCTTTTATTAGATTTGTTCCCGGGTATATTATTATTATTATTATTATTATTATTAAAAGATTTTATTTATTTGAGAATGAGAGAGAACATGAATGGAGGGGGGGAGGAGCAGAGGGAGAGAGAGAAGCAGACTCCCTGCTCAATCCTACGATCCCAGGATCATGGTCAGTCTAAGATTTTTTTTTTTCAGTCTAAGATTTTTTAATAACTCCTGACATTATGTATTATAGACAGTCTGCAAACTTTTGTCAGTTGTTAAAATTGTTATTCTGTGTTTTTAAACAGATTCCCATCACCAATTTTTCTTGGAATTGGGCAGGTAAGTGAAAAAGAAAAATTAACTGCTTAATTAGTTGTCAACCTACATGATGAAATTTTAGTGCTTTTGTTTAAGACCATGGTTTACAGATTCATTCAACTGGCAGAAAGCCAGAGGATCATGGTACTTTTGGTGAAACAGCATGAAATTTTTTTTTAAAGATTTTATTTATTTATTTGACAGAGATCAGAAGTAGACAGAGAGGCAGGCAGAGAGAGAGGGGGAAGCAGGCTCCCTGCTGAGCAGAAAGCCCCATGGGGTTCAATCCCAGGACCCTGAGATCATGACCCGAGATGAAGACAGAGGCTTTAACCCACTGAGCCACCCAGGCGCCCTGAAACAGCATGAAATATTAACATATCTTATGTCTTTCTATAATTTAGGAAATGTTGTATTTGCAGAAAAAACAAACAAACAACTACTTGTTTCAACTTCCTTAATTGGATTTAATTACCCTAAAACTAGGGGCCAGAAGACTGAAAGCTTCCAAGGCCTGGTGGGCAACAAATGAATGGGTTTGAAGCCTGGGGTAGGACTAGGAGCACAGTTGCTCCAGTTGAGGTGTGCTATTGGTACTCAGTTTAAGCCACTGTGCTGAGAGGAAAAGGGTTGGGGAGATGAGATTGGGTTCACTACACCCTTATTATCAAAACCTTGATAGGTATTTCAAGAGGCAGGGGTTTTGAATGTTTACATCAAATTTATAAATGCTGGCAACATGTTCCAATTTTTACAAAACTCTCTATGGGCCTAACTAAATATGCTTGCATTTTGCTTCCTGCAGTTTGTGATTTTTTCGTTCTCAAGTATAAAGATGAGGTTGGATAAGCTTTCAGACTAACCTCATTTGGCTCCTTCTGAAATTTCCCATTAATATTAATTCATAGCTTGTTTACTCTCTTGGTCATATGCTGGTGATTTCTAGTAGACAAGTGGAAACAGGCACCAAAGGCACATTTTTGGTATGTTTGTTTGGTTTTGCTTTAATTTACAGGGAAAAAAATGTAAAATTAGGAAAATTGTATCTGTTAACTAAATTTTTAATTGTGAGTCTTGGAGAGGATGTCATTTATATGATTAAACATTATTCTGGTTAAATGTTTTGCTGATAAGTCACTCTTTACAACATCATTTTAGGGAAAAAGTAGTAAGAAATCAATATTTTCCTTAAGGTCAAAAATAGATTGTCTTAATGTTTCAATGTGAAATAGGTAGAAAAAAGTACTTTAAAAGATCAGTGAATATGTGATAATGTGCCCTTAGTAATCCCCAAGGCAAATAAACTCACTGGCTTACTCAAAGTGATATGCAATTTGTGTGGAAAAAGAGCAGCAGACCCAATTTAAAAAGTCTGAGTTGCAGAATATTTTAAATAAGGGTTAGTATATTTGTGTAAGAATTACAAAGTAAGTTATAAATATAAACTATAATTATAATTCAAGATGGGCTCATGTTATATTAATCTATCATAAGTATTATATTTGTAAACTCATTAAGCTCAAGGTTTAGGATGATAATCATGTTGAAGGAGTTCTTAAATTTTTGCATCATAATATGGAGAAAATTAAGTTCTAAAATTTGCATAGGAAGATGATATTAAAATTTTTTATTATGGAATTTAAAATTTTGTATTCATAATGATAATATGGAGTATTTCTAATATACTTGCTATACTCCAGGTTAATAGGGTTTGAATGAGACATTTTTGCAGGACTGGCTAGATTGAAGAGAAAAATAAATCCCTTTTAAAACTGTTTTTCTCTTAATTTGTCTTCTGTGTTACAGGAATATTGGACATCACAGAAAGTGTGTTTATATGTAGAGTTTGCCCCCTCAATGGAGCCCCAGTCTCTATGTGGAAAGGTGACCATATGCTCTACACAGGAAATATGGTCCAGAATCAAGGAGTGGCCTCTCTGACTGTAGTCACTCTGGCCAGTTTTGGGGACACCATTTCTTTTTTCCCCTCTGTCACTGTTCCTTGAGCCCCTTGAGACAATATGTATACGTGTGAGCTATTTGATTTTATACTTTTTGCCTATAGTTCTGATGGAATTTATACATTGACAAAAAAAATAATTTTTAATACTCTAGGAAATAGTTATTATTTGGAACCTAGAAAATGGATTTTTTGGAATAATATTTTCTTTTTGATGAATGTATTTTCTTCTGATGATGTCTTTGTACCTCAGTCTTTCCAGGTATTTTGCTAAAGTTTCTCCCTCCCCCTCTTTTTTTTTAGATGGCAGTGACCATAATGATACTGTATGTATCTAAACTAAATAAACTAATTCATTTCCCTGATTTTGACAAGAAAATTCCTGTGAAGGTATGTGATGAAAAGTACATAGAACTTTGATGGAACATGTGAAAATGCTATAGAATTTAAATGGATCTAAGAATACATGTCAATTTCCACACACAGTGTGCTTCCTGCTTACACTGGGTAGAGACGACTTCTTCTTCTTCAAGATTTTATTTATTTGACAGAAAGAGACACAGCGAGAGAGGGAACACAAGCAGGGGGAGGGGGAGAGGGAGAAGGAGGCCTCCTGCTGAGCAAGGAGTCTGATGGGACTCCATTCCAGGACACTGGGATCATGACCTGAGCTGAAGGCAGCCGCCTAACGACCAAGCCAGCCAGGCGTCCCTGGGTAGAGACTTCTTAATAGAGATATTGTATTACTCATTCAGTTGTTCATTAACGTAATGTAATAATAGTGGAAGTACGTGCTTAAGAACTGACATTAAATAAATACTTATGTCTTCTGAAAAGTTAAAGCCCTACCAGGAATTGGTAAGTTTTTTTGCTAAAAAAAAAACAGATAGTAGATATTTAGGCTTTGTGGACTAGACTGTCTCTGTTGGAACTATTCAGCTCTGCCACTGTATCATGATATATAAATGAATTGCTGTGATTATGTACTAATAAAACTTCATTTACATAGACAAAAGATGGGCCAGATTTGACTCTTTGGCCCTACTTTTCTGATCTTGGTTTAAGTTTTCATTTTTAACTTGGATTGATAAAGCATAAAACCTGCCTTTCCTTCCTAGAATGTGGAACAGAACTACCTTTCTTGAACAGTTGCTGGTTCAATAAACAGTTGTTTTAAGCCAGGCATTTAATTCTTAGAGCAATCCTATACAATAGGTGGTATTAACTGGATTATGATGGCATTTTTTGGATTTAGGGATGTTAAATCAGCCTGTCAGTTCCTTGAGGGTGAGGACCTCACATGGCTTCTTCACTACCACGTCGTTAAGGCCTGGAAAGACACTGGCATCTATCACTAGGTTATTCATTAGACTGACCAAGCACATGGGTAGACCATCAATAATCAGGGACATTCACAAAAAGAGAAAAACAAAATATTGAAGTGTAATGAAAGCTATAAACACAATCATAACTGGAAAAATCAGAATATCGTTGGGTTTGCTTATACTTAGTTTATGATACACTATAATTTTAAACATTTTAAAATTGTGAAAAATGATCTATAAATAGGGAAAAAGGCATCATTCATGAATGTGTAGTTGCATGAATAATTAGCTGGGCACTCATTACCTAGGTCATGAGATGGGATCACGATTTTCCTTACCCACTATTCTGACTTCTGTGATAATGCTTTTCTTGCTTTAGTTGAAATTGTTCTAATATGCATTCCTGAATTAAGTTTTGCTGAGTTAGTTTTGCCATTCTTGAATGTTCTGGGAAGAGAATACTGTTCTGAACATCCTTAGGGTTGGATCTCAATGCACATGTATTAGTCAGCCAGGGTTCCCATAACAGAATACCACAGACTGAGGGGCTTAAACAACAGGAACGAGTTTTCTCACAGTTCTGGTGGCAAAAAAGTCCAAGATCAAGGTGTCAACAGAGTTGGTTTCTGGTGAAAGTTCTTTCCTTGGTGTGTAGACCACTGCCATCTTTCTGTGTCCTGATGTGGACTTTACTTTGTATGTGCACACTCCTGGTATCTCCTCTTCTTAGAAGGACCTCGGACCTTGGATTAGGCCCCATCCTTATGATATAACCTTAATTACCTCTTAAAAACCCTATCTCCAAATATAGTCACATGGGGTTAGGGCTTCAAAATATGATTTTTAAAGACAATTTAGCCTAAAATGATACTTGTGGCATGAATTTCTCTTGGAGGCATATCAGGAAGTGGAATGGTTGACTCCTATCCTATGCACATCTGCAACTTGAGTAATTAATGTCAAAGTGTTCTCCGAAGTGGTTGTACCAGTTCACACTGCTGATGAAAGTGCATGAAAGTCCCTGTTGCTCCACATTCTTGTCAATCCTTGATATGTCAGTTGTTTTATTTATTTTTTTACTTTTTTTTAACTTTATGCTATCTTAATTACTGTGTGTCAATATGTCAGTCATTTTAAATTGTGCTAATCTGGTGGGTGTATAATGAGTTCTTGGCTTTTATTTGCATTTTTCTTGGTTATCAGTGAGATTTTTCTTTTCTTTCTTTCTTTCTTTTTTTTTTTTTACTATGTTATGTTATTCTTTCCTTTCTGCATCCCCCATTTTCCACTTTCCTCCTGATTAAAGTACCTCCTTTAGAATGTACTAATGGTCAGCTTAAATTCCCTTAGGTCTTGTCTGTAAAAGACGATGGTTTTCCTTTGCTTTTGAAAGATACTCTTGCCTTCTAACTCAATAGATCTTGGTGTATGCAATTCTGCTGTCTTCTGGCTTCCATTGTTTATCTCTGGGTTTCTGTTCTCACTTAAGTTTTGGCCTGGGGACTCACTATCTCCCCACATACTTTTATGAAGGTTTTAAATTATTTTATGTAGCATTTTTAATTGTTTTCAGTGGGGAGATTAACACAAACAATCTAGCCCACTGTTTCTAAAAACTGGAAGTCAGTATTGTTTTTATTTTGAATTATATATGGAAAGGGGGGCAACTGATTCTTTTCAATGCCTAAGAACTTCTAAAGTTGTAATATCTGAACAGTGCTATTGTTGAGCCAGGGGTAGGCTGCCAACCAGAATGCTGTTAATGAAGAGGGGAAGGTCCTGGATCTGAGGTCCTCTCTTCTTTGTGTCTTCTTTCTTGAGCAAATCTCCTGATAATAAAATTTTATAATTCTTTTGGGGATAGATGACAATTACTGTTTCAAAATCCTTCAAAGAATATCTTATCCGAGTTACTGCTTAATGTCTTTTTAGTGGAAGAAGAAATGCTGGACTCACCAGGATCACTATGGATTATCACATCAGTCAAAAAGTTCTCAGTTAGTGTGTGACCTTATGAAAGGGTGTATGTTTTTTTTTTTTTTTTTCATTCGTGGAAGACTAGGTCTTCCATTTTGTGTGTTTGTTCAGTATGTTTTCAACAATATTTCTCTTGACAATCAGAAAACAGTTCAGGAGCTCAGAGCTCAGGAAACCTAATTCAAGTACTGCTGGTACATTGTTTAACCTTGGTAGATATGTAATCATTCTAGGCCTTGAAAACAAATAAAGTAACTCCACAGTAATGTGGCTGGTAGACACAACTTTTTGAAAGGGTCACCAGCCTTGTGACATTCCAGTGAGATATGAATCTTTGCTGTCATCCAAAAAAGTGCATAATGCATAGATAACAAGTTTGTACACCTTCTCAAGGGGCCATCTGAACCTGAGGCATGAACTATAAATACCCTTCCTCAACTCAGCAATGCAGCCAGGGATCTCCACTTAAGAGAGGTGCTTATTGGGTATTCATCCTTTCTGATGGAGGCATAATACTCCATGCCTCCAACAGAAAGGATGAATACCCAACTTTTGCAGCAACATGGACGGGACTGGAAGAGATTATGCTGAGTGAAATAAGTCAAGCAGAGAGAGTCAATTATCGTATGGTTTCACTTATTTGTGGAGCATAACAAATAGCATGGAGGACAAGGGGAGATGGAGAGGAGAAGGGAGTTGAGGGAAATTGGAAGGGGAGGTGAACCATGAGAGACTATGAACTCTGAAAAACAACCTGAGGGTTTTGAAGAGGTGGGGGTGGTGGAGGTTGGGGGAACCAGGTGGTGGGTATTAGGGAGGGCAAGGATTGCATGGTGCACTGGGTGTGGTGCAAAAACAACGAATACTATTACACCGAAAAGAAATAAAAAATTTAAAAAAAGAAAAAAAAAAAGAGAGGTGCTTGTTCAGAGCCTCCCTTTAGGGAGATAGTCTGCCAATGTTGATAAGGTCAACGTTTCCATTTCAACGCAGATCCGCTCCACCCCACCATGATTATAGATATCATTGCCCACCTAACTATTTTGGTCACATGGAGAAACTCATGATGTGTTTTAGATTGTGGGAAATTCACAGTTGTTACAGGGAAATAGACTTGAATGATTTGCTTACTGACAGGAAGTGTCACCATTATGTGAAAGAAAATCGTTATTGGAATTCTAATCAAATATTCTTCCTTTTTTTTCATGGAAGCTGTTTCCTCTGCCTCTCCTCTACGTTGGAAACCACATAAGTGGATTATCAAGCACAAGTAAATTAAGGTAGAGTGCAGGAGAATGATTGATGGGAGGTTTTTGACTCATTTATTTCCAGTGGTACAAAAACCAAGTTTGATTTTGAATATACTGCCTGGGCTACATACAGAAGACAATAATATTTACTAATTTAAGAAAACTAAGTGGAGTTTTGAGTTTAATTTGCTTATATTTTTAGGAAACTTAAAAAGCTGATGTTTTTCCTTTTTATTCAAGTCTGAACATAGAATGTGAGATCTGTGGGCATCAAGACAGAGAATATCTGACTTATCCAGGTGGATTTATTTATGTTGTATAACCAATATCCAATACATTTATGTGAATGGTTCTGTGTAACTGGTTTTATCATGGTTTTATAAAATCAGGAACATCCTATCAGATTTAGTAGGTCAGGTTTGGTCCAGAGAAAAATAAGGGACAGATGTTATTTTTAAGTGTGTTACATACTTCTGAAATTTGCATTTCCATGTGTTTTAGGGTCCTTTGATTAACTACTTTTGTTAAAAGTCACTATAAAAATGGAAATGGAAGTATAGAAAGACCAAGCCACTCTCTACACTGGAAAACTTGGATGCGAGCTGTGTAGCCTAACTAACACATATGAATGCAGGTGTAAATAATGAGAAAATGAAGTTTGTGCAAAGGATGACAGAGATTGAAGAAAACCTTGTTAGTTTGGTGAGAGCAACAGGGGGCAGGTAGAAAGTAGACCAGAAGGAGAAGGTCAGATAAAACAGACAACTGAAATCAGACCTGTCATCTTTCCTCTTGTTTGGAAAGGACAGGTTGTGATTATGGAAAACAAAATGTGAAATGTTGGTTGTAGTTATACATTTTAGTTGTTTTTTTCCCTTGTTTATTTGTTTGTTTGTTTGTTTCTTTCACTCAGGACAATCAGTTTTCCTTATTTGTCTCAAATTTGTGTTAAAGTGTCTTGTGGTAGGTGCTATCCCTATGTTACCATGTATCCTGTTGGCCTGTCTCTGAGTGAGTGCACCTGCTGCTGACCCTCACGCTGAAGGGCTTTGGGGGTCTCTGCTTCCTAGATGAGAGCTGCTTCTTCTTTTTTAAAAAAGTGATTTTAGAAACACCCTTATTACAAGTGTTCTAAAATGCTCTACATGCATTGCAGAATGGGTATAACTTCTCTTCACCGATATGGCACTCTTCTCGAGTAGCAAGCAAGTAGCAGTGTTAGAAATATCTTTACCACACATGTTCTTAAACACTTTCTACGTGCATCTGAAAGAGGGAAGAGGGGGCATGCCTTGGGTGCCATGGGGCTTTCTGGAAAAGAGAAGGAACCAGAAAATGAGACCGAATAGGAAGAAAGATTGTTTATGCAGGGTATCATGTAATGCGTTCCCCTGTGCCTCATATTTTCCGTAAATGGGTGGTTGGTTCTACTGGTTTGATCATCTTCAGGTTCAGTTTTTCAGGCAAGATCAGTCTATTGGTATGTTGGGTGCTTCCTACTGTATCATGGGACCACAAAATATTTTAGCCCACTTTTTTTTTTTTTTAAAGATTATTTATTTATTTATTTAACAGAGAGAGAGAGACACACACACACACACACACACACACACACACACACACACACAGCAAGAGGGAACACAAGCAGAGGGAGTGGGAGAGGGAAAAGCAGGCTTTCCGCTGAGCAGGGAACCCAACACGGGACTCAATCCCAGAACCTTGGGATTGTGACCTGAGCCAAAGGCAGATGATTAACAATTAAGCCACCCAGGTGCCACACCCCACTTTTTAAAAAATAGCTTTTTGAGGTGTGATTGGCATAAAGTAAAGTACATATAATTAAAATGCACATTATGATAAATTTTGACCTATGTATATACATCTGTGAAATCCATCACCACAATATCCAACACCCACAAAAATTTCCTCAAGTGTCCTACTTATAATGATATTAAGTTGATCAATTCCCCTTTTAATAATTTTAAGGGATCAGTCTGGTCCCTTCATTAGAAAGTGCCCCATCCGTCTTTCACCTAATGGTTTTAATATTCATTGATGATAATTTCCTTGATCCATTATTTCATTACAATTTGCAATATGGTGATTTTCTAACTATATCACCCCATCTGCATGTGTTGTCTAAATTTTAATAAATACAAACTTTCACCATGTCACACAAGAAAGGCAGGATTAAGCTTTATTTATACATGTTCAGAATAATAAATTAGTGTCCTGTCACCTTCAGTGGTGACCAGTGAGTTTTTGTTTATCTTTGTTTTTTTTGCTATCATTATAAACTCATGAATTTTCATTTATTTGATAGAAATTTTTTGTCAGATATGTGTTTTGCAAATATTTTCTCTCAGTCAGTAGTTGGTCTTTTCATTCTCTTAATACTGTCTTTCAGAGCAGAAGTTTTAAATTTTAATGAAGTTCCATATCAATTTTTTCTCTCATGGATCATGCTTTCGGTATTGTTTTTGTTTGTTTGCTTTAAGATTTTATTTATTTATTCAACAGAGAGAGAGAGAGAGAGAGCCCAAGCAGGGGGAGTGGCAGGCAGAAGGAGAGGCAGACTCCCTGCTGAGCAGGGAGCCTGATGTGAAACTTGATCACAGGACCCTGGGATCATGACCCGAGCTGAAGGCAGAGGCCTAACCAACTGAGCCACCTGGATTCCCTGTGCTTTTGGTATTGTTTTTAAGAACTCGTTGCCAAGCGGCGCCTGGGTGGCTCACTCAGTTAAGTGTCTGACTCTTGATTTCGGCTTAGGTCATGATCTCAGGGTTTTGAGATTGAGCCCTATGTCAGGCTCCATGCTCAAAGGGGTGTCTGCTTGGGATTCTCCCTCTTCCTCTGCCTCTCCCCACCTCCCTCTATTAAAAGAAAAAGTTTTATATATATATATATGTACATATATATATATATGTATATATATATGTATATATGAAAGTTCATTGTCAAGGGGTGCCTCATTGGCTCAGTCAATAAAGCGTGAGACTCTTGAACTTAAGGGTTGTAATTTGAGCCCCATATTGGGTATAGAGATTACTTTAAAAAAAGTTACAAAAAATAAAAATAAAAACTCATTGCTGAAACCAACATCACCTAGATTTTCTCCTATGCTATGCTATCTTCCAGGAACTTAATAGTTTGCATTTTACATTTAAATGTATGGCCTGTTTTGATTTTATTTGTGAAAGGTATAGGGTCTATCTAGATTCTATTTTTTTACATGTCGGTGTCCAGTTGTTTGAGCATCATTTGTTGAAAAGATCTTCCTTTCTCCATTGAATTATGTTTGCTCCTTTGTCAAAGATGAGTTGATTATATTTGTGGAGGCTTATTTCTGGGCTCTCTAGTCTGTTCACTTCATCTATTTCATTACTTGATATTTCAAGTCATTTTATAAATAATTCTTTTGATATTCACATTATCCCATCTCAGGCCAATGGGAGCCCCTTTGAGCAGGCTTTTATGTTCTAGGCCCCCAGTAATCTGATTACTTCCTTGCTGTTTGGTACATGATGTCCCAGGCTTACCTTGGAGTTTTCCTGCCATTTCTCCAAGGATCCCCTGGTTAATTTAATGTTAAAGGTTATGTTGAGGCCACAGTCTGGGTGCTATATATATTGTGAAGGAACAGCCAACACAGTTTCCTGATGATTAACATGTAGAATGTGCGACAAAGATGACTTCATGGTTTTTGGAAGAATGGGATTACCATTGATTGGATCTATGCCTAGGAGGATTTCTGGTCATTAGGCAGTTCTCTGTTTAAATATTTTCAGGAATTGTCAAACTGTTTCCCAAGGTGGCTACACCAACTTACAGTCCCACCAGCAGTGTAAGAAAGCTACAGCTTCTCTACATTCTTGCCAAATTTGTTATTGTCTATCTTTTGGGTTATGGTTCTTCTAGTAGTTGTAAAGTAGTATCTTGTTGTGGTTTTGATTACATTTCTCTGATGGCTAATGATGCGAAGCATCTTTTCATGTGCTTATTAGAGATCTATACATATAGATATGTATCTGTATCTATCTATATATCTATATATATCTATTCAAATCTTCTGCCTATTTTAATAGGGTTATTCATCTTTTTAAGTATTGTCTTCTTTATATTTTATATACATAGGTGCCTTATCTGTATGATTGCAAAGTTTTCTCTTATTTTGCGGGCTTTTACTCTCTAAATGGTATACTTTGAAGCAAAAGTTTTAAGTTTTTCAAAATTTAACAAAGTAAAATATACATAACGTATAATTTATCATTTTAACCAATTTTTAAAAAAGATTTTATTTATTTATTTGACAGAGAGAGAGGGATCACAAGTAGGCAGAGAGACAGGCAGAGAGAGAGGGAGCAGCAGGCTCCCTGCCGAGCAGAGAATCCAATGTGGGGCTCAAACCCAGGACCCTGAGATCATGACCCGAGCTGAAGGCAGAGCCTTAACCCACTGAGCCACAGAGCCGCCCCTGTTTTAACCATTTTTATGTGTACATTTCATTGATATTCAGTATATTACAGTGATGGGCAACCATCTCTACTATTTCTAGAACTTTTGCATCATCTTAAACTGAAGCTCTGTACCCATTAAATAGTAACTCCCCCATTTTCCCAGTCTCCCAGCCACTGGTAACCTCTATTTTACATTCTTTCTCTATGAATTTGCCTACTGTAGATATTTCATACAAGTGAAATCATACAATCTTTGTCCTTTTAAATTATGAATTTTTTTCAATGAGCATAATGTTATCAAGGTTTATCCATGTTGTAACATGTATCAGAATTTTATTCCTTTTTTCTTTTAAAGTAAACTCTAAGTCCAGTGTGGGACTCAAACTCACAACCCCAGATCAAGAGTGCTCTACTGACTGAGCCAGCTAGGCACCTCTGTTCCTTTTTTTTGTTTTTATTTTTTTTGTTTTTTTTTTTGTTTAAGCTAAATAATATTCTATTGTTTGTATGTATCACCTTTGATTATCCATTATTCAAAATTGAAAATTTTGATGGAGCTAATTTAACAATTTTTTCTTTTGCTGCTTGTGCTTTTGGTATTGTATCTTAGAAGACCTTGCCTCATCCAAGGTCATGAAGATTTACCCCTATGTTTTCTTCTAAGATTTTAATAATTTTAGTTCCTGTTGGAAGTCTCCTACAAAGACTTTAGGTCTTTGATACATTGTGAGATCAATTCCTGTATGTGGTTTGAGGAAGGGGTCCATATTCCTTCTTTTGCATGTGGGTGGATAGTCAGTTGTTCCAGTACCATTTTTTTGAAAAGATATTTCTTTCTCCATTGTATTGTCTTGGCACCCTTCTTGAAAATGAATTGACCATAATTGTATGGATTTATTTCTCGATTATTTTAAAAATTTCTTGATTCTTAATCCTATTCATTTGATTATATTTCTATACTGATTATGGTAGCTTTGTAGTAAGTTTTGAAATTGGGTCCACAAACTTTGTTCTTCTTTTTCAAGATTGTTTTGGCTTTCTGGTTTCCTTGTATTACCATATTAATTTTAGAATCAGCTTGTCAGTTTCTGGGGGGAAAAGCCAACTGACATTTTGACAAGGATTCTGTTGGCTCTATAGATCTATTTCAGGGAGTATTTCCATTTTAATAATGTTAAGCCTACTGATCCAGAAACATGAAGTATCTTTCCATTCATGCTTCTTTAATATTCTAACAATATTTTGTAGTTTTTAGTATACAAGTCTTATACTTCTTTTCTTAAATTTATTCCTAAGAATTGTGTTCTTTTTCATGTTATCTTTAACAGAATTGTTTTAATTTCCTTTTTGGATTGCTCATTGCTAGTGTATAGAAGTATAACTGATGTGGGACGCCTGCGTGGCTCTGTCGGTTAATTGGCTGCCTTCGGCTCAGGTCATGATCCCAGCGTCCTGGGATGGAGTCCTGCATTGGACTCCTTGCTCATCAGGGAGCCTGCTTCTCTCTCTCCCTCTGCCTGCCACTCTGCCTGCTTGCGTTCTCTCTCTCTCTCTGTCAAATAAATACAGAAAATCTTAAAAAAAAAAAAAAAAAAGAAGTATAACTTATGTTTATATATTTAATTTTTTCCCTGTACTCTTGCTTAACTATTAGCCCAGATAACTCTTCAGTGGATTACTCAGGGTTTTCTATATATGTCATCTGCAAATAGAGATAACTTCATTTCTTCCTTTCCAAACAGTATGCCTTTTTTTCCCCTCCAGCTGAGTTGCCCCTTTTAGAATCTCAAGTACTTTTTGAATTGATGTGGTGTTGAGAGCAAGCATTATGGTCTTATTACTGATCTTAGGGGGGAAACATTCAGTTTTTCATCATTAAATATACCTTACTTGCTTTTAAAAGGCATCATGTAAAAATACTTTTTGGAATTAATTGACTTTTGGCTTACTTTGAAAAAGGCAGTTCTAACCAGTCTCATAAGTTACAAAGTTCCTGAAAATTCTTTCTGTACTTGCTCTCTTTTTGTGGGATCACTGATCACATGCAACCCCTCCTCAAGTCTGGTCAGGAGGAGCTGGCCACTGTCCTTGTGGCTCTGGTTCTGACTTTCCTTCTCTAGGTCTCCATCTTCTCAGAGTCACATCTGGAAGCAGATGAAAGTGGGCTGTTCCAGCCCAGGCAGTTTGTTGGCTATGCACTGAGCTGTGTCTTAGAATCTCTGGGTTTTGACAGCCAGTGAAATGTTCTTAAATATTTTTAAAAGGTAGTGAATATATCTTCATTACCTAATGTTTTTTGGGAAAAATAACCCATAATTTTATTCTCTAACATACTATTTAGTTTATTTTTTAAAAAGATTTTATTTATTTATTTGAGGAGGGGGAAAGACACAGAGGGAGAGTGAGAGGGAGAAGCAGACTCCCCGATGAGTGAAGAGCCTGATGTGGGGCTCGACCCCAGGACCCCAGGATCATGACCTGAGTGGAAGGCAGATGCTTAACTGACTAAGCCACCCAGGCACCCTTAGCATACTATTTTATTTTATTTTTTTTAAAGATTTTATTTATTTATTTGACAGAGAGAGAGAGATCACAAGTAGGCAGAGAGGCAGGCAGAGAAAGAGAGGGAAGCAGGCTCCCTGCTGAGGAGAGAGCCCGATGCGGGCCTCAATCCCAGGACTCTGAGACCATGACCTGAGCCGAAGGCAGAGGCTCAACCCACTGAGCCACCCAGGCACCCAACATACTATTTTAAACATCTATTTCAGTCTTTTCCCATATGGTGGACTGCATCTTATTTTAGTAGTAGACTCTATGTAGTTTTGTGCCCTCTTTATTTAATATTAATTTTCTAATAGTAACATAAAGTTTTATGTTATAGAGTTAACACATAATGTTCCCTCAGGTAGATTTATCATATTTTTTTTTAATCATTGTCTTGTGTGACTTTTAAGTTGTTTCTGATGTTTTCCCCAAAGATATTATTGCAGTGAACACATTTGTGCACGTGGTTTTTTCCTCTTTAGTATTATTACTTCAGGGTAAGTGTCCCAACGAGAAATAATTAGGTCCAAGGTTAGCAGAACTTAATGACTATTGATACATTGTTCCAACTCGATTTGCTAAAGGGTGTGTTGGTTTACATCGCATACAATCTTTTAGCATGGTCTTTGTAGTTTTAGCACAATCTTTTCAGTAGTTGGGTTGCATGATTTTTAAAAATTGTTAAGTGAAAATAATTGCTAATAAGTAAAAGTGGCATGAAACTATTAAATCTCCGTTTCTTTTTATTATTTAATGTGTTTCGTTAATGGTATAGGTGAGAATTAAGGTTAATTTCTATGTTTAATTTGGAAAGTTAGTGAGCTTAATTAAAAATGTAAAACATGTTAAAAAAATACATGGCATCTGATGTTATTATATTTGAATCTTTTCCCAACAGCTTGCCGATGTTCACCGTGCTCAGGAAATTTACCATTCCACTCACTTTACTCCTGGAAACCATCATACTTGGGTGATTCTTGTTTTTCCTCTATTCCTCTTGTGTCCTTTCCCCTCATCCCACATTATTTTTATGTAGCAAATTCTCAACATCTAGTTATTTTTCCAAATAGTTATTTTGAATTGCTAGTAGCAATAACTTAGGGCCCCACGGTTTATTCACTTAAAAGCATCTCCTGTTTCCATGATTCCTTAAGAACATAATGTGTGATTTTTTTACATCGTAATTTTATATTAGATTAATAATATGAGTTTATGATAGAAAATTATTTTAAAAATGCAAGAACCTCAAAACAGATGTAAATATGTTTCCTGAATCAGATGGAATGTACACTGATTTTGGAATACAGAGGAAAATTTGTCTGTGTATACATACAGGATAGAAATGCAGGAAATCCCAGAAATCCATTCTGATATAGTGATGGTGATGTAACATAGGAATAAATTAATTTTTTATAATGTTGGTTTAAAAATCTCTCATAAAGACACTCAGGCTGGTATCTAAAAAGGTGAGTCTTAGTTTTGCTGGGAAGATTATTTAGCAATGAAATTTGGATGATGGCCCAGTGTTCTAAATCCTACTGTTGAATTTTATCCTAATCTTTGGATGCTTGATAGAAGACCAATTAGAACTGCCAGCAGGGACTCTTCTGCATTTTGTCACAGCATCTTTCCAATGAGAACAGAGAAATACATTTATAATTAGATTAGACAGCTGCTTAAGAAATACATTTGATCTAATTTATTAATCCACTTACAGGTGCTTACAATGCTTTCTCTAGGTAAAGTGATGTCCATTAGATTTTAGCCATAAGACTGTGAACAATGTCTTTTTTCAGTTCAAGAGTCATAATCCATGTTTTTTCCTGTCTTACTCCTTCCCTTCTCTATCCATCTAGGAAACAGTATTCCTTGAGCATCATCGTCAGTGTTTTTACCATTGTGCTTGGTGCTTTCATAGCAGCTGGGTAAGACTTTGGACTGTTTCTGCTCAATAACTTCTTTGTGCCTTTGACAATAGGCCCGGCCCCACCCTCATTTTCCATTCTCCATCTGGCTGCAGTTGAATTGAGCAGCCAAGAGACAAGTCTGTTGATGTCGGTGGGTTCCCCATGTGTTCCTGTGAAAGTCAGACTGGGTTCCAACTTGGCCAGAACATTTCTGAGAACATGTAAAGGGAACATTAGAAGATATGAATACAGCTTTTCTCCCTAAAAAGGAGTAAACTATTTGCTATTATTACTGAATGTTTGTCTTTAATACAGAAATTCACTTGAAGAGTTCTTGGGCATCTGGTCAAGAATAACAGCTTTATAAAGCCCTTGCAGGGTGATTTGTTTTGTCACCTGTGATGCCTTAGCAGTCTGTTTCCAAGGGTGACATGCTCTCATTAAATGTATTTGCATATTTGGGACATGAGCCAATACCAGTGTATGACTAAGTAGATCCTTGAACAACACGGGGATTAAGGGCACCAACACCCTCTCCCCCCCCTACATAGTGGAAAATCCGAGTTTAACTTTTCACTCCCTAAAAACTTCAGTACTGATAGCCTATTGTTGACTGGAAGCCTTACACAGATAAATGGACCAGTACAGTTCAAACCTCTGTTGTTCAGGGTCAGCTAGAGTGTCTTATTCATTAATATGCAAGAGCAGGAATGTGGACTTCCAGGTTTGCAGTTGCAAGCAGACACTCAGACTCCTGGCTTTTACAGCCTAGTGGTTAAAGCATGTGTGCAGTTGTATTCTGTGGGTCCAGAACTTAGCCTGGCTCTTGTCACCTGTTTCTCAGCCCCTCTCTGCCTCAATTTTACTCATCTGTAAGGTAAAGAATGTAATAGAAAAGAAAAACCTGTCCGAGTGAAGGGAAGAATGCAAAGATTGGATGAATTTCAGTTAAACTAGTTTCCTTAACTGATTTATTTGGATGATACTTACTCTCTGGGGGCACCTGGGCACCTGGGCAGCTCAGTCGGTTAAGCATCCAACTCTCGATTTTGGCTTAGGTCATGATCTCAGGGTCCTTAGATTGAGACCCGCATCTGACTCCATGCTCAGCACGGAGTCTGCTTGTCCCTCTCCCTACCCCTGCTCTCTCTCTTTCTCTCTCTCAAATAAATAAATAAAATCTTAAAAAAAATAATAAAAGTTCTGGATCACAAATTGCAAAATAAATAAGGGTGTGGATATTCTCTTCTAGTCTCTTCACTTACTAGATGTATAAGTAGGCCACGCTATTTAACTTCCCTGCACCCCAGTTATTTCAACTATAAAATGGAGATTAGAATGGACCCACCTGAATGCAAGCTGGTGTGGCCACTCTGGAGAACAGTATGGAGGTTCCTCAAAAAGCTGAAAATAGAGCTACTGTATGATCCAGCAATTGTACTACGGGGTATTTACCCTTAAGATACAAATGTAGTGATCTGAAGGGGCACCTGCACCACAGTGCTTATAGCAGCAATGTCCACAGTAGACAAACTATGGAAAGAGCCCAGATGTCCATCAACAGATGAATGGCTAAAAAAGATGTGGTTCATATACACAATGGAATACTATGCAGCCATCAAGAGAAATGAAATCTTGCCATTTGCAATGATGTGGATGGAACTAGAGGGTGTTAGGCTGAGCGAAATAAGTCAGTCAGAGAAAGACAATTATGATATGATCTCACTGATGAGGAATTTGAGAAACAAGACAGAGGATCATAGGGGAAGGGAGGGAAAAATGAAATAAGATGAGAAACCAGGGAGGGAGACAAACCATGAGAGACTCTTAATCTCAGGAAACAAACTGAAGGTTGCTGGGGGGTGGAGGGGGAGGGATGGGGCGGCTGGGGGATGGGCATTGGGGAGAGTATGTGCTATGGTGAGTGCTGTGAATTGTGTAAGCTGATGAATCAAAGACCTGTACCCCTGAAACAAATAATACACTAGATGTTAATTAAAAAAAAAAAAGAATAGACCCACTTAATAGGATCTTTGTGTGAATCAAATGGCATAACAATAAAGTGGGGTTTATACACTAGTATGTGGCCAAAATCATGTTGAGTGTTTACTGTCAGGTGTAGACTTAGCTATGGCGGGGGGCGGGGGGATCCAGCAGTTAACAAAACAGACAGGAATCCTTGCTTTCGAGGAGCTTCCTTTCTAGTTGGTGGGGACAGACAGTAAGCAAAAGAAACAGATTAGAAAACAGGGCATGCCAGATGGTGACAGATAATGAGGATTTTTTTTTTTTTTTTTTTAATTTTACATGTGTTAGTTTCTTGCCTAGACCACAGTTTGTTATTTATGGTTTTGTTGGTAACGTCCTCCTTCTCAGTCCTGGCAGTGGCTGAGTTGACCCCCCCTGCGAGCTGGCCCCTGGTTTGAGCACTATTTCCGGCCTCTGGTTGGAGCCAGCATGGACAGGAAATGGCAGCACTGAGAGCTTATTGTAGTCTTGAAGTTTTGTTCCAAGAAAGTCCTAGAAGCAAAGGAACTAAAAGAGGGAGGTGCTCTGTTGAAAGCACCCTTCTCCCACAGTGCCTTGGGGTGTCCCCTGGGCAGCCTCTCTTTAATTAAGTTCCTTTGAGCTCAATTTGGAAACTATTGACTTTGAGGCAGTTGTACACTTTTCCAAAAGAATGGTTTATAGAAATGTCTGGAAGGCTTTGGTGAGAAATGGCACTTTAGATGCTGTCTCTGGAGGCATATTTCCAGCCCCAGTGAGTGGAAATTCAGCTCATAGTTACCACATATGATATTCTAATGAGCTGCAAAGGTAAATAGTGTTTTCAGAGCATTGCATTTCCCCCCAAGAGCTAGCTTAGAGCAGCACTTCTCGACTTTTCCCTTCTTTAGCACCCAGAGAATGGATACTCTCTGGGTGGGTGACAAGCACCCTTCGCTGAAGGCCGGCCATCACCCCACCCTTCTCTCCTCTCATTAAGATCTTCTTACCCAAATGCAAATTACTGTAGAGCTGATTCAGTCAAATGGGCCAGTTTATGCTGCTGTAACACACAGCTCCCACATTTACACACCGAATATATTCTGCTCACACTGCATACTCAGACCAAAGTTAGTTACGCGGGGATGGGGTGTGGGGGGGTGCTCTGCTCATTGTAGTTACTTAGGGACCAAGGCTGATGAAACCCCTGCCTCAAAAGGGACTTCCTTCCTCACCCAGGAGGGAAGAAGGCATGTGGGGAATCATGTGTTGGCTTTTCAGACTTTTGCTTGGAACTGCCATGTGTTACCTCCTCTTACATTTTACTTGCCAGACAAGTCACATGGCCAGAAAAAGTCAAACTATTATTTCTGAAAACAGCCCTAAATGACAACTACAAGGGTTAACCATGAATCTGCTCTCATGTATTAAAGCAAGCAAATTGTTTTCAAACTTCTGTGCTTTTACCAGTGGCCTGAATGAGTGGTGTTGGGGATGTGTAGCCCCTGGAGTAGGAGACCTGAGAACTCTGGGAATTTCCCTCAGGCTCTCCGAGGAAGTGAGCGACGCCTTTCCACTCCCCTAGGAACCTGAGTTTTTTTTTTTTTTTTTTTAATCCATTCAACTCTTTGCCATTTTATGCAACAGCAGACTCTTCTTAACACAGAGCCAAATGTGAGTAGGCGTGAGATTTGGAAGACCCTTATTTTGAGAGATTCTATTTTTTGTGATTGAGCCAGAGAATTCTGATTTATGATGATCTAAAATTAATTTGCATTCTCACAAATATATTTGTAGTTAATAGTACCAGCAGAAGCCTTGAATAAATCTAGTTTAATTTGGATTCAGATTTTGATGATATTTTTGCCACTTCCTCCCCTTCTCTTTGGTTAGAAATAGTCTTTAAAAAATTTATTTTTTTTAATTTTGCAGGGATCAGGATATGCCGCTCCAAAATAGGCCAGTTAAGCATAAACATTATTTTGAGCTGAAGGCAATTAATTGAGAATCAACAGATGTAGAAAGACTTCTCTGTCTTCCCCTTTCCTGGCTAAAAGCAGACCATAAATTTCCTTTTGTAAGAGTGGTCCCCCCTACTCCCTCCACCCTGAACCCTGCACCAGGAATAGGAAAGCAGCTCTTATTACTGGTGATGGAGAATCAGTACCAAGAGGAGTCTGCATAAATAACCCTTACTACAATAATCCTTCTCTTCCATTAGTTTCCCCTAAGTTTCCTAGTCTTCATTCCATAATTTATTTGTTCCTTGGAATCCAAACTTCTTCATTTTTAAAATGATATGTAAGCCCCAGAGTCTCACCACTTATTTGAGATTTATTTTTTGTGAACTCCTTTACATGTAAAATATTTAATAAAAGTTGTATTCCTTTTCTCTTGTTAACCTACTGTCAGTCAAATTTGCAGGCTCCAGTCACTGAACCTGAGAGTGTAGAGGAAGCCCTTTTGATGCTAAGTATTTCTGAATTATGACATGGCTCTCATACTGTAAGACCAAGTGTGGTAGATTAGTCACCTCAGGGCTCAGCTGTTCTCTCTGTCCTCCCTGAGCCATTTTTATACTAGTCCTCCCTGAACATTTTTATGTCCTCCCTGAACATTTTTTACTAGTATTATTTATATAAAATGGAAATTGAAGAGAAGATGGTTCAAAAGGATGGGGAGAAGGGAGTCTTAGAGGAGTTGCGGAGAAGGAATGGATCCCTGCCTTGTTTTAGCATTGGACAAGATGTGATGGGTACCCAGTCATCACGGTGGGTGATGTGACCGGCTGGGTACCAGATGGAGGTGTCAGTTCCTCATTCGACCCCTCTTGCCCCAGTAACTGCCCAGCTGTCCCCACAGGGCTGTCCGGGGAGATGGCCCTGTTTATTATAATAAGCAAAGCCACTGGGTGGGTTGGACAAATCACTCCCCTTAGAAAAGAAGGGCATCACCAATGATTATGCCAGTTGATTGTTAGTGAAAGAAAGACCTTTGCCGTTGAAGGAAGATGGTTAATGTCCCTTTGGTGTTAAGCCATTCATGATTAAATTGAAGCCACCTGATGGCCTGGTTTTGTTTTGTCTGGAGGCAGAGCAGAGGAATTAACCACAGAGGGGGAAAATATGCCAGAGGGAAAAAAAAGGTAGTTACCAGCATCACAAGTGGATTTGATTAGGGAAAGATAAAACAGGCAGGCTTTGAAGGCCAAGCTGTGTGAGTTTCTGAATAATCATCCTCCTTTTTGTGTTCTTCCTTCCAGTTCTGACCTCGCCTTTAACTTGGAAGGCTATATTTTTGTATTCCTGAATGATATCTTCACAGCAGCAAATGGAGTTTATACCAAACAGAAAATGGACCCCAAGGTACCAGACCTTCGCTCTTGTGGTTTTTAGGCTTTGTCATCTGGCCCCTGAAATTGCATGAAAAAAGAAATGGATTTGTAAAGTTGGCATGTAATTTAATTTACATGGTATGCTTTATAAATCACTGATTTCTTTTCAGTTATCCTGTCTGTATGCGTTCTTGTTACCCCTGACCCTACAAGGTTTTGGGTGAAAATCAGATAGGGAGGGAAAAGATACCACAATTTTCGAGGCAGAGTCAGAATATGTAAAGAGGAGATTATTTTGAAAGGCAAAATAAACTTAAAAGTTTTTTGCTGTCCTCCTCAGTGAGCAAGGCAAAGTCGGCGGTATTCTGAAACAACCCCAGTTTGGGAACCTGAAGACGTGGGTGACATAAGTTTTCCTGGTCTCTGTGACTTGGACACTTAACTCCTCCAGACTTCAGATTCTTCTGTGGCATGGCCATTGTATCTGGTCCTGGCCAGGGAGAAGTGCCTCTCCTGATCAGCCGTTGAGCAGTCCCCCAGAGACTGGTGGGCCGATGAGCCTGCTTGCACGGGGCTGCCCCCCGCCAAGGCCCCTTGTGCTTCCCCCGCCCCAGCTGTTCCAGGAACCCTGGAGGATGAGCCAGGCATATGTTGCCTTGTTTCAAGTTCTTTGTGTTGAGTGAGGGAGTTTGCTCAGAAGGACAGACTTGTGTCTACGAGCTGTTTTTTATCTGCATGGCCCTTTGTTTTTTTTTAACTGGTGGCAATTTTACACAAACAGGTTTGTTGCCTCTTGAGGGTCCCAACAGGTCACCCTTTATGAGAAATGGTGGAGAAGGGGTGTAGCCACTTTGATGACAAGTAAATTTATGCAAGATTAGAAAAGGAGATACCTGGTGTTTTAACACTGCTGCCTCTTGACAGAAAGAGCAGATGTTTTTAAGGAGTTCTGTTTATATTAACACTTTCAATGTTCTTTATTTTGTTCCAGATTTCCCATTCTGAATACAATACTTAGAAAAAAGAAACAAAATCGGAATGGTAGAGATGGGTGGGACCTCGGAGGCCCTCCATTTTTATCTGTCATTTTTGTATAAAATAAATGTTTATTTTGCTATCATGATGTACTTGAAGTGAAGCCTTTTACATTAGGAATTTGCTAAAAAAAAAAAAAAAAAAAGGAATTTGCTGAAAATATTCCAACACAGAGTTGGTCTGAATAGATTTTTAACTCTGCATAAATACATAATTGTGTAAATGGCTCCAGGAAATCTGATGCTTTGTATTTCTAAAATTGAGTGTTTCCTTTGCTTTTGTAGGAGTTGGGGAAATATGGAGTGCTTTTCTACAATGCCTGCTTCATGATTATACCGACTCTTATCATTAGTGTCTCTACCGGAGACCTTCAACAGGTAAGCTGAGGATGGTCATCGCAGTCCAACTGAGCAGTCTTTTAAAGTCTTTTTTTTTTTTTTTTAAAGATTTTATTTATTTATTTGACAGACAGAAATCACAAGTAGTCAGAGGAGTAGGTAGAGAGAGAGGAAGGGAAGCAGGCTCGCTGCTGAGCAGAGAGCCGGACGCAGGACTTGATCCCAGGACCCTGGGATCATGACCTGAGCCGAAGGCAGAGGCCCTAACCCACTGAGCCACCCAGGTGCCCCTCTTAAAGTCTTAATAGTTAACTTCTGGCACTCACTGCAGGGAAGTGTGTAATGGTGGTAAGTAGGATGAGCAGGAGGGTCCCTGAAAGCGAGACCTGTGATATCCCCAGCAGCAAGCACCTTTGGCACAATCGTTTCTTTGGTGTTTATCTTCAGACACATGGGAAGCAGCAGAAAGTAGTAACAAGAACTCCGGACTTGAAGATTTTTTGAAAACAATGACAGTAAAATCTGAATTTGAGTCTTAATATCTCTATTTGCTGATGTGGGGATCCTGGGAAAACTAACTTAGAAGGGGATTTTGATCGTTTAAAAAATGGATTTATTTATCTCCTGCCTTTATAATGGACATTTTGAAACATATGCAAAATAGAATAATTCATTGAATCTCACGTACCCACCACCACTTTTTGGCATTTTGCCATTCTTATTTCATCTATTCCCATCTGCTTTCATTCTTTTTTTCCTCCTGGAATATTTTAAAGCAAATTCCAGAGATCACGGAGTTTTGCATCGAAGTATTCTGGGAGGTACCTTTGGAATTTTGAGAATGTGTTGTTTGGTATTTGCCCTGCTCACCTGTTTGCTGCACTCACCTGAGAGACAAATAAAATGGTCTAGGAATAGAGGAGGCCCAGCTGGAGGGAGTGAAGGCCATCCCTCAGGAAGGGTGAAGATTCAGCCTGTAGCATCCTTACTGGCCGCTTTGAAGTGTGCCAGCCCATGCCAAGCTCTGCTTTCCAGAAAGTTGCTAACCATAACACTTCTGAGAAGTGTTGTGTTGTGTTGTTGTGTTGCCTGTATCTTTTTTTTTATTTTTTATTTTTTTATTTTTTTAAAATTTATTTATTTGACAGACAGAGATCACAAGTAGGCAGAGAGGCAGGCAGAGGGAGAGAAAGGAGAAAGCAGGCTCCCTGCTGAGCAGAGAGCCCGATGCGGGGCTCAATCCCAGGACTCTGGGATCATGACCTGAGCCAAAGGCAAAGGCTTTAACCCACTGAGCCACCCAGGCGCCCCAGTGTTGCCTGTATCTTAAGGGAGATTCTTAAGTTCACGCGAGAAAATTTGCTGGGCAGCACTTACCATCCAGCCTTGCATCTGCCCACAGAGCCAAGCCCCAGACACTAAGTCTCTGGTTGCGGGACCCAGGATCAGGGTTCAGAGGGGCCCTGTGCAGTGGCTGCTCACCCACCACAGGACACTGTTGCTGTGTGTACTGATCAGCAGGCGTGTGTGGGCACACAGGTTGAGTGGATCCCATTTGTAGCCTTTCCGGGGTTCAAATATTTCGAGAAGTTTGCAGCCTCTTGTGGGCTCCTAGGGTGATGTTGGGGCTTCTCATTCTTTCTTAAAACTATACTTTCTTATTGGTACAATCTCTTTCCAAAAGAGGGGGCAGAAGAACTTAGCAGCAATGCTATGAATGGCATGGTAACCAGAAACTGAATTTTAGGTACCTTATGAGTTAAATCCCCTGGATGTATCATGTTAATAATTTGTAACATTGTTCCCATAGGAATGTGTGTTCCCACATCCAAACCTTTGCTTTATGAACTTGTAACAGGTACTCTTAGAAGTTTTGCCTGCTTGTGGGCCGCTTGGGTGGGGCCCCTGGGTGGCTCGTGGGAACGTCTGACTCTTGGTTTTGGCTCTGGTCACGATCTCATGGGTTCGTGGGATGGGCCCCACAATGGGCTCTGCCCTCAGTGGACAGTCTGCTTCAAGTTTCTCTCCCTCTGCCCCTCCTCCCACTCCCTCTCTCTCTAAGATAAATAAGCCTTTAAAAAAAGGTTTCACCTGCTTGTAATGCTTACATTGCAGAATTATACTTCCTCAATTAATAACAAAAATAATAGCTAATAATTATTGAGGACTTATCAGACTTTGTTCAAAGCATTGTACATGAACTATTTCACTGCTTTCCACAACAGCCCTCTGAGGAAAGGGTACTGCTGTTATGTTCATCTTTTAGAGGAACCCAGTATTTAAATAACTTCCAGGGATACAGGGGATCCATCCAGGTAGTTAGAGGAACACATCTTCCACTGTCCTCCCAGTTACTTCATTGTATATGAAAAGTGCTTCTTTCCTTCATGCACGAAAAACCAGAACCTAGTGCTTATATCTTTAGAAAGTATAAGAGGCTGAACATACACTCTAACTTATTAGACAGTGGTGTTCTAGGAGAATATTATGCTTCTGTTCTGGCTTTTGGTGCTAAACTCTCTCAATATTTACCCGTGGCTAGCCTCTTCTGTTTGACCAGGCTCCTAAGATTTCAAACAGAAGGTACCTTCTAGCCCCAGTTGTGGTTACTAGTCACTGTAATTCCAGAACTAAATATAGAGATTTTTTTAAAAAACTATATGAAAATTATAATTTAGAAAAAAATAGAATGTATTTAAAGCTGTAAGAAAGGTCTACTATAAAAATGAAAAAATACGAAGTCATGAAATTAAAACTTTGACTCTATTTTAATTTACAAGTATTGTATGATAAGAGTACCAAAAAATATGGGACAGTTTCTGTAATCAGTCATTTTTAAATCTCTGTAGAAAATATTTGGTATTTTTAACTAGTAAGATTGTTCTGCTCTGTTGCAAGTTTCTTTCAGTTGGTTACTTTTAACTATGGTTGAATCCATTTTAGATTGTGAACCAAATACAATAAAGAAGAGAACTTATGTAAGTAGGTCTGTTAGTCTATAAAATTGCATTTTATTTGCAGTTTGGGGTGATTGTACCAAAAGTTGATTGATGAATTAGGGTAAAATGCTAACTTATTAACAGAAGAAGTACTTTGATGAGTCATTTTTTCCTGGTTGACTGGAGAAGATCAGAGGTTGTGGTAAGACTTGTATGACTAACGGCTCTAGAGTTCACTCCTGGACCTTGGACTTATATAGTCAACAGATCTGGTAACAGCACCTTGATTCTGTCTCTGATTAGCAAAGTCAGCAATGCCAGCTACTCTTGTCAACAGTATAGGCCTTTGGAAAATACTGATTGGGTGACCTTTCTTTAGTCATTCGAATTGCTGCAATAGGTTCAGAGTACATGGTTTATTATAGTTGATGAGTAGGAATAAATAATAAGATTTATTTTTCTGATTAAAAAACCCACATAAATGCAAAATAAAAAGATTCATACTCTACCATACTTTTACAACAATAGTAAGTCTAAAGGAAGCAGTACTGTATTGTTTAATTTCTGTTTTTTAAAAAATATTTTATTTATTTATATTTGTGTGTGTGTAAGAGAGAGAGTGAGCAAGAAAGAGAGCATGAGCAGGAGATGCAGGGACAGGGAGAAGCAGATACCCTGCTGAGCAGGGAACACGACATGGGGCTCCATCCTAGGACCCCGAGATCATGACCTGAGCCAAAGTCAGATGCTTAACTGACTGAGCCACCCAGGCGCCCCTCTGTTTTAAAATAAATGTCATACTACATCATTTTTTAAAATGTCACCAGCATAGCTTTATCATTATTAAAGGAACAAAATAAAGCTAAAATCTACTAAAATTTAGAGTGGCAAAGAATCCAAATATTTTTATGAAAATAACTACATGGCCCTCAAGTGGTTCAGGAATATATAGTTTTAATTTACTGTTTGCAGAAATACTTCCAACTTGTTGAATCAATAAATGTTTTGCTTCCCTTGGTTTGAAGTTCAGAGCATATGGTTTTCTATTATTTCCAGTTCTATTTTAATTTTATTTATTTATTTATTTATTTAAAAGATTTTATTTATTTATTTGACAGACAGAGATCACAAGTAGACAGAGAGGCAGGCAGAGAGAGAGAGAGGGAAGTGGGCTCCGGGACTCGATCCCAGGACCCTGAGATCATGACTTGAGCCGAAGGCAGCAGCTTAACCCACTGAGCCACCCAGGCGCCCCTATTTTAATTTTAGATATAGATTGTTTTCTATGTTTTTTTGTTTGGTTTTGGTCTTTGACTGCCTTGGATGTTTTCTGCACGTTCGATTGGCTTGGGCTTGCCAGTAAGATGGATTCATGTTTATTATTATTTTTCTTTCACAAGTAAGCATTTAAAGAAAATAATTTTATGATGGAAACTTTCAAACCTATGTATATAAGGAGAACAAATAGTAATAACAAACCCATGGACCCATAGACCAGTTTCAACAATTATCAACATTTAATGTGTTCGTTTTTGTTAAGAGAAGTGGACAAAGTCTCACTAATGAAACAATGTCAAGTATTGTAAAAATGTATTAATTGGAGAAGAATCCATTCTAATTGGCCTAAAATTTCTGAACTATAAACTTGACAGAGATTTAAATAGCTTTAAATCTATAAAATTACTAAAACTTGGCTAATAAAGTTTTGTCTAAGAGAAAGTGAATAGAACTGATATTCAATTATGTTACTCAGTACAAACTTAATGTATAGTCTTGAGTCACCTTAAAATCATTTTTGGGTGCAGGCAAAGGACAAAGCACAAATAAAATGCTCCTTTTTATTGTTGCCTTTCATTCCAAGAGGGTTAATTTCATTTTCTCAGCTAAAAGACTAAGACTAAGGTCTTGGAGAGTTGAATCTCTCTCATAAAATTTTCTGTCCCAGCTCCTCCTCCCGATTACTTGCTTGCTTTGTAAATACACAAAGTAGTTTATTTGTTCATAATGCTTACTAAGCATTTGTAAATTCTTTTTCTAAAAAGAGCTTGTTTATTTATTTTACAGAGTGAGACAGTGCATGAGCAAGCAGTGGGAGGAGCAGAGGGGGAGGGAGAGAATCTCAAGCTGACTCTGTGCTGAGCCCAGAACTTGACACTGGGCTCAAGTCTATGACCTTGAGATCATAACCTGAGCCAAAACCAAGAGTTAGACACTTAACTGACTGAGCCACTGAGGCACCCCAAACATTTATAAATTATTGAAAACAGTTCATGGACTTAGTTTTCTGAACCTGCCAACATTATTAATTTTATCATAAGCTTTCTTCTAAGATTATTTATACAAAGTAAACCCAACCATGATTTTGTGAACACAAATTAGTAGAGAGATAGTCACAGCAACAATAGCTGTGTTGTATATGTGCCACCTGCCAGGTTTTAAACAATTTCATTAAATCCTCATGTTGACCTTTTGAGGATGTTTTAAAAAAAAGATCCTTGTTTTGTAAAGTGAATCTGAGATTCGGGAAGTAAAAGTAATATGCCCAACATTACAAACTGGTATTGCCTAGAGTTTTTTTAAAGTTGTATTTTCTGTTTGGGAAAGTGTTTCCTGTACTAAAACACACAATTTGGTAAAAGCCATAGATTTAAACTGCAATTAATATTCTAACCATTAGTTTTCTTTTCTTTTTTTCTTTTCTTTTTCTTTTTTTTTTTTTTACATAATAGGCTACTGAATTCAATGAATGGAAGAATGTTCTCTTTATCATACAGTTTCTTCTTTCCTGTTTTTTGGGGTAAGAAACCATCCATAAGTAGAAGCTTGATCTGTGATATGTCTTGACAAATCAAGTCAAAATATACATTCTGTCTGCTCTATCAAAATCCCTTTGTCTTTGCTTCTCCACCTTTCTCTGGAAAGTAGCCTTGCAACAAGGAGTGGGATGGGACCCAGGATCCCTGGGAACACAGCCTGAAAGATCAGGAGCAAGCATGAAACAGTTTTATTTTTGAAAGTCATGCTTGATATCACATTCTACTCCAAAACGTGATGTTGCCTATTAATATCTGAAAGCATAAATTAAGTGAAATAGTTGTAGTTTTCTCAGTTGTTGTCTGCCATTTGACCCTGAAAAAAATCTAAGTTGTGTTTTTGAGTCACACTTTGTCAAACCATCTTTTCTTTTCTCTCTGATTAAAAAAAAAAAGATTCAATCCATATCACACAAACTTAGAAAATACCTTTCTCTAACAAAGCCCAGATTCACCTATGAACAACACAGCAGACTTTCAAAGTATTTTCTCATTTCACTATAAACTTGATGATGAAATGCTATTCCTGTTTTCGTTTGCTTGTTTGTTTTACTTGCACTATTGAAGGAACTCAAGAACTAACCCCCGCAAAGTCTTTGTCCTCAGTGGTGATGTGGTAAGGAGTGCCTAGATGAGAGCCTCCATTCTCTGGGGCTTGCCTGTCAGAGGTTTGACCCTATCTGTATATAATTCCATACACTTTTTCCCCCACTTAATAATGTGCTTCTTAGAAAACAAATACTCTTGATAAAAGTTCTTAATGTATTATGTCATCAGTAGTTCCTTTGCAAATGAAAATGCCATAAAGGCATTCCAATTATAAATAAATCAGTAAAAAATGATAAAATCTTTAAGATTTAGGTTTCATCCAGATTTAAAGATGAAAATTAGGTAGGTCTGTTTTTAAAGTGGGTCTTTTGAGGACACTAAAATCATGGCACCATTCCAACAGCTAGGTGTCCGAACTCTGGAATCAGATGCCCTGGGTTTGCCACTTATTAGCTCTGAGTCCTTGGACAAGTTTTCTAACCACTCTCAGCCTCAATTTCCTTATTTTTTTTTTTTTAAAGATTTTATTTATTTATTTGATAGAGGGAGAGAGGTCACAAGTAGGCAGAGAGGAAGGCAGAGAGAGAGAAGGGGAAGCAGGCTCCCTGCTGAGCAGAGAGCCCGATGTGGGCCTCGATCCCAGGACTCTGAGATCATGACCTGAGCCGAAAGCAGAGGCTTAACCCACTGAGCCACCCAGGCGCCCCAATTTCCTTATTTTTAAAATGGGATCTTTAATAAGGAGATAAAGTATGTGATTCATAGAATGGGGTTAGGTGGATTGAATGAGCTAGAGTGATGAGCCCTCAGCACATGCCGGACACACAGAAAATGCTCAGGAATGTTAAGTGTGATTGTTATTGTTAATATTTCTATTTCTTGAGGTCAGTGTGTTTTCACCCCAGCCAGAATTGGTTCTACCAACAGTCCATGGCTTCAGCATTTTTTTGCTATTACACACATAGTTGACCCTTGAACGATACATATTTGAACTGTGTGGGTCCAATTTTGTGTGGATTTTTTTTCAAAGAATACATACAACTCTGTAAGTGCATCTTCTCTTATGATTTTCTCAAACATTTTCTTTAGCTTACTTTATTATTAGAATACAGTATATAATGCATATAATATACAAAATATGTGTTAATTACCTATGTTCTCAGTAAGGCTTCTGGTCTACAGTAGACTATTAGCAGTTAAGTTTTTGGGAAGTCAAAAGTTATCTCCGGATTTTTTACTGGGCAGGGGGTCAGCACCCCTAGCTCCTGTGTCATTCAAGGGTCAACTGTACTTTTCTTTCACTGGTCAAATTTGAATCTGAAACTGCTCTGGAAGGAAGTTTCAATTTTGGTATGGTGGCTTTTTCAGAATCCTTTCTTGAAGTTTCTCTTTCAAAGGATTGGGATATTTACTTCTTCATAGTAAGAGAAGCCATTGTAAGCTTCTGAGCACATTCTCCCTTTTGAGGATAACTGGTACAGGGCTCGCCCCTTTTCTTTGGTCCCTGCTCAAGGAATGACTCAGGGCTCACACATAGGCATCCCAACCCTTGATTCCAGAGAAATGTGATGCTCAGCTTCTTACTTTCTTCAACTCTTTCAAGTTTGCATTTCAAACTTGGGTTTTCTAACCATCAAACACCTGTCCCATGTTGAATATACAATTACAAAATTATAACACATTAAAAATGGATGATAAGTGAATGCAATGGTGAAAAGGGTAGACTTTTAATTTTCTTTTGGGTTACGGTAGGCTCAGCTTTCAGAAATGCAATTTGTAATCAGGAGTTTGTTGATAAAGCATATGATGGAGTTTAATTATGTCAGGAAGGTAAACTGGATTGTGGGTGCTAAGATAGTTTAACGCAGGCAAAAGTAAAATTAAAAAAATTTTTTTTAAGATTTTATTTATTTATTTGACAGAGATCACAAGTAGGCAGAGAGGCAGGCAGAGAGAGGGGAGGAAGCAGACTCCCCGCTGAGCAGAGAGCCCAATGCTACGCTTGATCCCAGGACCCTGAGATCATGACCTGATCTGAAGGCAGAGGCTTAACCCACTGAGCCACCCAGGCGCCCCAGCAAAAGTAAAATTTAGACTGAAATTTAAGCTGACAAACTAGATATTAAAAAGTTAGCTCTGGGGCATCTGGGTGGCTCAGTCAGTTAAGTGTTTGGCTCTTGATTTCTGGTCAAGTCATGATCTCAGGGCATGAGATCAATCCCTATGGGGCTCAGTGGTCAGTGGGGAGTCTGCTGGAGGATTCTCTCCCTCTGGCCCTCCCTCTACTTGTAGACGCACATACTCTCTCTCTAAAATGAATGAATCTTTAAAAAAAAAAAAAAAGCTAGTTCTGCAGGTATTTTTAATCTTGCTGAAAAATTATGGGTTCTGGTTCATTCATACCAGCAAATGGCACCAGCCCTCAGGCTTTGGAAATGATTATCCTAATCTGTTTCTGCCCCAGTAGCAGACTCTTTGGTCCCACTGAAGCCGTAATATATTTCTCAGTAAAAACACAAAAGTACCAAGTATTTTTCAATCACAGGATAACAAATGTTCTATTCCTTGAACCTTTACTGATAACTGCTGTAATGTGTGCATAAAAGAAAACAGGATTCTGAGGATAGCTGGGGCACAGGAACAATATTCCCACATTCCCAGTAAACCAAATCTTAATGTAAAATTGGTGCTCTGGGAAGATGAACCATATAAACCCCATGACTTTGGCATCCTTGGCACACCACTGAGGCCTTGGGTAGGAGTGTGTTCTAACAAGAGATGGGTGAGATGAGATTACTTGAAATTCTTTGAAGTCTGAAATTAGAATACTATGCTAGGGTACCACTGTGGTTGATGGGAGGTGTGTAAACATGGCCTGTTATTATTTGAACATTTGTGTTGAGTTTATGTAAATGTACCTTCACAGAATGATAACCAGGACACATTGTAAAGGAGGTCATTCGAGTACTATTTGTGACTACCATGAGTGTGCCATACAACTTGGGTAAATCAGTTAGTTTCTTTTCAGAAAGAGTAAGTACCTTGGAGCAGGACTTCTGTTCTAGGGGTTTCTCCATGAACATGTCCATCTCTCGGGGACCTATAAACCCAAGCATACTGCTGGCATCTGTTGTCTGAATGTGAATCACATATATGTGCTATTCTTTTTCAAGTAGACATAGGTGATATCTGATTTAGAAATACAGAATGGCAGGAAGCTATTTTTAAATATCTTTGCATTTTATAAATCCACAGATGGCTAAAATTAAAACTACTGTCAGGCAGAAGTTGACATTTTTAGCATTAAAAGTGGTCTGGTTTTCTTTGTACTGAGTTAATGGAGGTTCTTTTAGTTTAGAACCTTGGTCGTTTTAGCCAAAGGACTACATAGGTGCCTATCTGCATATAGAAATAGATTGTTTCTTAGAAAATTGGAATAAACTACTTTGATCCTTACTGTTTTATTTTAGCCTCTCTGGTGACACCTACTGGTTATACTGAGAAATGCAGCCTTTTGTCTAGAGGCTCTTTTACTTAAGACCTGGCTATTTCAGACACCCCCAGGCCTCAGAGAACCGGTGGGGGGGGCTCCTCCTATGCTCAGCCCAGCTGGTGAGTGTGTGTCCTACTTGCCCACACTCATAGTGGGTGGATCCAAGGTATCAGCCAATTCTGAATGCAGGTGGAGGTGGTTTCACTAAAAGGTAGGATGGAGAAAACATTGCATGATTAGATTGCCAGAGTAGGAATTTTTAAGCAAAAATAAAAATAATATCCACGATTGCCTTGGGTTTAAGGCTGCATTCATTTAGGAAGCCTGCAGGAAACTTTTCTGTGTCCCTAGGTTGGGTTAGACCGCTCCCTTGTGGTGTAATCTCTAGTATTTTATTAGACTCCCTCCTCAAGGAAGATGCTGTGGGTTATCTACTCTTACTGTCTGGGCTGAACAGAGTAGGCACTCAGTAACATCACGTTGATGTTACTATCTTTTTATTTTATGCATGAATAGGATTATTCCTGGGGTTCTGGATTCATGTTGAATTTATTAAAATTATAAACATTTTAAAAACTTTGATTTTTTTAAGGCTTTAGGTTCAATTTATAAATACTGTTGCTCCATTTATGATGCTAGCAATTTTTGTATTAACATAAGGACATTTAACTGTTTGATTAATGGCTTATTAACTCAATATTAGCTGAAGAAAATCTTCTAAACAATTTACTGTAAGTTGGTCTTTTTTTTTTTACCACTCAGTGAATTAAAAAAAAAAAAAGTAAGCATTTTAAACTACATTTACAAATATGATTCATCTGATTTTCCTCCAGCTACTCCAAACCCTAATGAGGTCCTCTGCAAAGCTTATGAGACAGGTTGCTTCACAAACCTAAGCAATTCTTTGAAACCTAGTAAACCCAACTTAGAAATTTGGTAAATCAGCTTCTTTTAAACGTCAAATATTGTGTTCAGACTGACACAGGTTTTCTTACTTCTTTCCAATGAAAGCTGCAAGTCTAATCCCATTGTACATTTCATTTTCAAACCACAGAGGCCAAGATGTTGGGTCCTGTAACTTGTCAAATTATTGTAATTACTTTCATCACAGAGACATATAGTAATTCTGAAGATTACAGAATTTAAGTTTATAATGGAATTTCTTCCTTAACATAAAAACTTGGTGTGCTTTAGCTCTTCAGATTTTTTTTCTTTACCATTCCTGATAAGAAACACACTTAGGCCGAGTGGTTACTGTGTTGATCTGTGATCTGGATTCTGTTATTAAGAGAGATTCTGGACTGGACTGGGGACTGGGCACTAAATTTTTTCAGGAAGAGACTACCTAACACTTAAGGACATAGGCTGAGCCCTTTCATAAGAGTCTGATTCCCTCTGTTCTGCCAATGGGGATTCAGGCTTATGCCTCCTAACTGGGATTTAGTTTTAAAATCCAACACACCTTATGATCTCTTTGTATCTTTTTTGGGTGGATTGAATTTTGCACCCCACTTAGGTTGCAGCTTATGTTCTTTATTTCTTGATTGGAATGAACATATTTCTTCTGATTGGATTCTGTATTCATATATATATTTTATATATATATATATTTTTTATATATATATATATATATATATATATATTTTAAGATTTTATTTATTTGACAGACAGAGATCACAAGTAGGCAGAGAAGCAGGCAGAGAGAGAGGGAAGCAGGCTCCCTGCTGAGCAGAGAGCCCGATGTGGGGCTCGATCCCAGGACCCTGGGACCATGACCTGAGCCGAAAGCAGAGGCTTTAACCCACTGAGCCACCCAGGTGCCATATATATATATATATATTTTTTTTTTTTTTTTTTTTTTTTTTGATTGGTGTTTGGTCACAATTCCTTAGTCATTTTCTTAGCAGTAAGTGTCACTATAGAGATCAATGTTGAATGCCTGGTGAATTAACTTTGGACATAGGGCACAGGAGTGTTATTGGCATGTGGAATCTATTAATTTCTTTCTCCTTTTCCTTTCTTTTCTCTTTAATCCCCATCAGCTGTTTCACCCATCCCTACACCCACCTCCCCTCTCGTAACCATCAGTTTGTTCTCTATTGTTAAGAGGCTGTTTCTTGGTTTGGTTCCCCCTTCTCCCTCTTTTGCTCACCTTCTTTGTTTTTTTAAATCCCACATACGAGTGAGATAATATGGTATTTGTCTTTGTCTAACAAAACTAAAAGGCAGCCTTTTGAATGAGAGAAGGTATTTGCAAATGATAGATCTGATAAAGGAGTAGTCTCCAAAATCTATAAAAACTTAGTAATAAAAAACCTTACAGTTTTGCTTTGCAGAAGCTCTTTATTTTGATGTAGTCCCAATAGTTCATTTTTGCTTTTATTTCCCTTGTCTCAGGAGACCTATCTGGAAAGATGTTGTTATGGCCAATGTCAAAGCAATTACTACGTGTGTTCTCTTCTAGGATTTTTATGGTTTCAAGTCTCACATTTAGGTCCTTCATCCATCTTGAGTATTCCTGTGTATGGTGAAAGTGGACCAGTTTCATTCTTTTGCACATTGCTGTCTAGTTTTCCCAGCACTGTTTGTTGAAGAGACTGTTTTTCCCTTGACTATTCTTGCTTCCTTTGTCAACAATTAATTGACCATATAATTGTGGGTTTCTTTATGGGTTTTCTATTCTGTTTTATTGGTCTATATGTCTGTTTTTGTGCCAGTACCATACTGTTTTGATTGCTACAACTTTGTAATATAACTTGAAGTCTAGAACTGTGATATCTCCAGCTTTATGGGATTGCTTTGGCTACTTAGGGTCTCTGGTGGTTCCATACAAATTTTAGGATTCTTTGTTCCAGTTCCGTGAAAAATGCTATGGATATTTTTATAGGGATTGCATTAAATGTGTAGATTGCTTTGTATGGACATTTTAACCACATTTGTTCTTCCAATCCACGAATATGGAGTGTCTTTCCATTTCTTTGTGCCATCTTCAATTTCTTTCACCAATGTTTTATAGTTTTCTCAGTATAGGTCTTTCACCTCTTTGGTTAAGTTTTTTCTTAGGTTTTGTATTATTTTTGGTGCATTGTAAATAGGGTTGTTGTTGTAATTTCTCTTTCTGCTGCTTCATTATTAGTGCATTGGAATGCAACAGATTTCTGTACATTGATTTTGTATCCTGCTGCTTTACTGAATTTGCTTATCAGTTCTCGCTGTTTTTTGGTGAAGTCTTTCAGGTCTTCTGTATATAGTATCGTGTCATCTGCAAACAGTGGAAGTTTGACTTCTTCCTTACCAGACTGGATGCCTTTTCTTTTTGTGTTCTGTTTACTGTGGAATCCATCAATTTCAGTCTCTTTTGTCCAAAGCCAGCAATCCCTCGCTGATTTTCCCTTCGACACACCAGTGGTTCTCAGTGGCTGCACATTCGTATTACCTGTTGGAGCTTCGATGCTGCGCCCAGCCAAGGGACCCACCTCAAAACAGCTGAGGGAGAACTGCCATCAGGCATCCTTGTGTGTTACAAAGTGTGCCTGGCGATTCTGATGCACCCCGAGGATTAAAGACCACTGCTGTGACATAGCTGTTAAAAGATTTCAGACCATTAAAAGAAACTCCCCATTCTTCCCGCCTTTACATGGAAACATAATGGGAAATGCACAGACAGAATGAAAAGAAGTCTTAAGGCAGAAAATTTGGCCAGTGCCCGACTGGGCCATTTTCCTATAGAAAGTTGGAATTATAATGGGGGTGTTTAAAGATGTAGGTTATAAACTCTTCATGGTATGTTTGTCTCCATTTGTTTGAAGTACTTGTGGGTCGGTGATACATAGACTTTTCTTAATCTGTTCTGCCCCGCAAGTCAGGCGCGCATCCAAGCGTTTCCTCCTTGTCCCAGGTTTCTGTTGATGTACTCCACAGTTCTATGCAGCTTTTACAATTCGGCCCTCACAACAGCAGTGGTTGGAGCCATCAAGGTAAGCAGGTGAAGCCTTGGGAAACGGGGAACTGGCCGTGAATCCAGTCTTCACGAGAGGAGCAGGGTTCGATTTTATGGTTGTAATGGGGGGCGGGGCCGGGGGGGGGTGGGGGGGTAGAGAAAGCGTGGAGATTTGTGACCCTCGCAGCTGTACCTGGGTCACCTCTTCTTAGATCTTCTCATCCCCTAATCCATGAACCAGAGAGAGGGCTTGCTAATTTAAAAAGGAGAGACAAATTACAACCTTTAATTCAAGGGTGGTCTCGGAGGGGAGGGTCTGAGAAAATGAAGTAAACAAAGCAGAAAAAAATTTCCAAATCTCTGTATTCACTAAGATGCCTTGTTAGGTGCCTTGTTTGTAAACGTGGTCCTGGGAGAACCTGTTGACTAGGAAAGGGAAGCCTTGTGAAGACCTGTTTTTAATGTAGATATATGCACAATGTATAAGGTACTAAACTCATGGACTGTATGTAGGTGTGTCTGTGTCTGTGCGTCTGAATACATACAGCAGTGAAGAGGAGGGCAGGGTGTTCTGTGCTGTCCCACAGTTGCTTTGATTTTCCAATCACACCAATAGAATGAGTTAGAAAGACTGTCCGCTCTAGCAGTAGACTGTCTGTTGGCCGCCCGGCCCCTCCTAGAATATACAGGGCAGGGCACTGCTTGGAATTTGCTGGATGTCTAATCCATGCAAGTTTAGGGTCCAGTATGATTAAAATTTACCAGCCAAAATTTATACTCTTTACCAGTGATGCTAAAGAGATGGGATCTGAAAAGCTGATTACAGCTCAACGCTTACATCTTTTTTTTTTTTCTTTTCCTGTGTATTAACTGTAAGGGGCATGAATGATGCAGTGTTCTGTAATTATCATGCCACGGAAAACCATATGTAATGGTTTTTTCTTCATTCATTCAACATTCTGTGAGCAGCTACTGTGTATGTCTCTGGGCAAAGTAACTAAAATATTTAGTCTTAGGTTTTACCATCTATATGTATTTTCCCCCTAAATCCTTCCCTTTTAAAATGACTAATCCTCTCTCTTTTTCTGCAGAATGTATCCATTGCCTACATTGGAATGTTAGTTGGTGGAGACTATATTTTCTCTATGTTAAACTTTGTAGGGTTAAATATTTGGTGAGTGGGATTTCTAAATGAACTCATTTTAGTAAAATATGAATTTTAAAAAGTGTGATTAATCTGTTGCAAGTGAAGGAACGGGAGGTGTTTTGACATTTTATTTTCTAAGATAATTTTACTTAAATCACTCCGTTCATCTGTTTTTATGACATGCTCCTTCATGTAGATCATGATGTGTGTGATGAAAATTCAGGGGGCTGAGATCCAAATTTAAGTCATACGTCTTTCTCAGAAAAACAAAACAAAACAAAACAAAAACAAAAAACGTCTAAGTTGTCTGCCTCCCTTTTGTGAAGTGGGCCTTCCTGAGGTCCTGCTCCGTCAAAGCACCATACATTAATGATATTGGGAGGAGGGGCTGAGACACTTTTGAAAGGCATTTTGGGGTTCTATGGAACACTGTCTTAGGATAACAGTGTAGTTTATTCAGTAATAAACAAATACTTATTTTCTCTCCAAAGTTTTGTATGGGATTGATCTCTTCTTTTTCTGCCTCCAAAGATTTCTAACCAAGAGGGTTTAATTCTCATCAAGCAAGCCACAAGCTAGGAGAAAAACAGGGGTCTCAATCACTCCTTTCTGGCTAGATCTATAAAGAGGTATATTTTGTACAGACCTGGGGATACTACCTGTGAGGTTTATTTATTTCCACTTTTTTTTCTCCTTTCAGCATGGCAGGGGGCTTGAGATACTCCTTTTTGACTCTGAGTGGCCAGTTGAACCCTAAACAACCCGTGGACGAAGAAAACATTCCTCAGGATTTGAAGAGTTACAATCTGAGGCAAGATTGCAGACCAGGACCATAGGCGGGGCGGGGTGCGGTGGGACTGGGGGGCAGGGCGGGGGGCAGGGCATCCCAGCTGTAGGAACCGGAAGCCAGACGTTCTGGTCAGGGACAACACTCAGCCACCTGGTGAAAGCACAGCAGAAGCGTCTGCCAACTGCGAAGAGAATCTACCTCACACGCTGCTGCACAGCGAGCCATCGCCAGCCCTCGGAAGCTTATTTGGGCAAAGCCTTACCATCTGAAAGCGAATCTTTCAGAGGAAACCATTGAGGAAAGGGACCTCAACCAAGGATTTTGGGCGGGCAGAGAACTGATTGGTCGGCCAGCCGCATCTCTGAGCTGCTGTCCCCCCCAGTACCATGTGCGTTTAAGAGGACGGAAATGGCCGACGGTGTGAGTCATTATTATCAGCACCTTGGCCTTAATTTCAAGGATCCCAGCCAAAGCAGAGTGCCATTAAGAACAGTTTTCTTTTCAGTTTAAACAAACATGTCCTTACTTTAATAAAATTAGCCCATCAACTACAAGTTAGTTGTTAGCTCTGATTTCATCATATATGTTGAGATCTTTTCCCGATCATCAAAGTAAAATAAAAATAATTTATAGGCAGGTGTCATACTGTGACATTATTTAGACAGGCAGAAAGACTCTACCTGAAGGGTGATATTCCTTTTAAGACTCATTCTGGAAACTATTACAAAATAACTCAATGGGAAAAACAACAACAACAACAAAACAAAAAACAAAACCCCAAAAAACTCTCCATGTGCCCTGCTCACATTTAAGTAGCTCATATTTCTCTCCCCATCTCCCCAGGTTTGTTCAGGGGCCTTTGAAATTCCAATCACCTTGATTTTAACCAAAGGTACATTTCATCATAGGTTCATCTGACCTCCCAGACCAGTGATGTGTGGGAAGGAGCCCTGAATGGATAAGCATTATTATTTTCATTTCCATCAAGGAATGGACTGGGGTGCCTGGCTGGCTCAGTTGGAAGAGCATATGACTCTCGATCTAAGGGTCATGAGTTTAAGCCCCACGCTGGGTATGGAGCCTACATAAAACAAAGAAATGGGCCATCCTTGTTGGGGTTGTGGTGTAGGGTAAGGCTCCAGTCTGGGCAACAGGAGCCTTGTAATCCCATCTCTACCACTACCCACCTGATACCTTCTCAGGTTACCTTGCTATTGTGACCTCCATTGTTTTAATCTGTAAAGTTGAACTGGATCTCCAAACCCTTGCTAGCTTTCACTTTCTAAGTTTCTAGAAGCTGAGACAGATGTGGGGCAGAGCAGCAAATGAAGGAGTGATTGTATTGATGCATTGTTTCCAATTATCTTTCAAAAAAATTTTGGCTACTCTAGATATCTAAGTGGAATTGCACAGTGTTTGTCTTTCGGTGCCTAGCTTACTTTACTTAGGGTAATGTCCTCAAAGTTCATCCTTGTAGTAGATGTTAGAATTTTCTTCCTTTTGAAGGCTGAATAATATTCCACCATATGGTTGGCTATACCACATTTGGGTTACCCATTCATCTATCAATGGACACTTGGCTATCTATGAATAACTCTGCTAAGAGCATGGGTGTACTCATGTGTCTTCGAGACCCTGCTTTCAATTCTTTTGGATATTAAAATTTGTTTCTTTTATGTTCAGAACACTTTTGACATCAAATGTGTGGAGTTTTTCCCTCCTATCAAGGAATTCTCCTACTCTCTGGACTCCAACTACATGTCCAACAATTCAATTCAATTCTAACTGCCTGGAGTTAGGGCAGACCCCACAGGTGAAGGGTTCAGTCCCATAAAACTGCTCCCCACTTCAGATGCCAATCCCAAGTCCCAGGTTGTGACCTATGCTTCTAACCAATTGGCCATGAATCAGGGGTTTGCACACTCCCTCCATCAGGTTGGATAATTTTCTGGAATGGCTCACAGAACTCAGGGAGAGTACTTAAGTCTCTGTAACTGGTTTCTTACAAAGAATACAGCTCTGCAACAGCCAGAAAGAAGAGATGCATAGGAAGAGGTATGTGGGAAGGATCTTGGAGCTTCCATGCCCTCTCTGGGCCTACCACCCTCCCACACACTGATGAGCTTGCCAGCCCCAAGCTCTCTAAACCCCACAGTCTGGGCATCCTTGCCATTTCCTATAGCAGCTGAATCATTTTACATTCGCGCAAGGGTTCCAGTTTCTCCACATCTTGTCTAACTTGTCATTTTCTGGGGGGGCTTTTTGTTTGTTTTGTTTTTGTGGTAGCCATTCTGATGGGTGTGAGATAATTGTGTCATTGGAGTTTTTTTTTTAATAATCATTTTTTAAATTTATTTTCAGCGTAACAGTATTCATTTTTTGTACCACACCCAGTGCTCCATGCAATCCGTGCCCTCTCTAATACCCACCACCTGGTTCCCCCAACCTCCCACCCCCCCACCTCTTCAAACCCCTCAGATTGTTTTTCAGAGTCCATAGTCTCTCATTGTTCACCTCTCCTTCCAATTGGAGTTTTGATTTGTATTTCCCTAATTCTTGGTGATGTTGGACATTTTTAATGTGCTTGTTGGCCATTCATATGTCTTTAGAGACGTGGCTTTCTAAATCTTTTGCCCATTTTTGAATTGGGTTGTGTGTTTTGTTGTTGAGTTCTAGGAGTCCTTCATTGGTTAACCTTACTTTGGAAAGACTTCTAGAGTGTGAGGTGGGGCCCCTGAGCTGTTGTGTCCACCTCCTCCTGCGTCTTGAGCATCAGTCCTGAAGCCCAGAGGCCAAAAATGCTAAGATTTGAAAACTGTGAACACCCACTTCTCATTTTCTCAGTGACAAAACAAAATGGCAGCACATTTTTGCTTTCTTCCAACAATTTTTTTCTGGTTTTTATTTTCTGAATCCTTGAAGATGATTTTGCGTTTTTCTACTCTTAATATGGTCAACCTTTGTTTGTTTTCATAGCCAGGATGCCTTGTTGGGGATTCTTACTTAGTTTTTTTTTTTCTTCTGCAATCACCCTGAATCTTTTCCTTGGACTTTTCTTACATGACCCTTTCTTTTTACCTTTCTGTTGAGACTTCTCCTGCTTCCGTGTGTGGCCAGCAGAGGGCACACGAAGAGCAGCCTGGCAGCATTTGCAGTTTCTAGAAGATCCCTAAAGACCCAGCTTCCTGCGCTGAGCGCTGAGATGGTGGTGGGAGATCCAATCTGGTTTTTGAATTAAGATTAGTTGAGGTAGCTGGGTGTGGAGAGGTGGTATGAAAGGGATTCATGAGATCAAGGAGGCTAATGAGGAAATGTAGCCTCATGCCTCAGGTCTCCAGATTTCTTTTTTTCTCACTAAAAGATATTGTAAAAGCCATCCTGGATAGGACAAAGAAATTAGTTTAATATCGTTGATGTCTGGCTTACTTCTGCCTATTGTATTGCAAATAACAGTGACACCATTTGTTAACTTGGACTTTTTCCTGATGTTTTAATATTTTCCCTGCATATCAAATGTATCTCAAATACATGGCCACTGGAGTTTTGGACAGCTGAGTTTCCTTAAAGAATTGAACTTAGTTTAGAGAAGAGTTATATATTATATATATAATGTATATATATACATATACACACAGTTAAATTTGCAGTATGTGTCCCTCAGGAAAATGGTGAAGTCAATAATATGTCAATAATTCCAGAGTGTTAAGTCAGTTCTTTTTTTTTTCCCCCACAATCGTTTGAATTTACTTTTCTCCTTTCTTTTCAACTTCATTGTTTTTCAGCTACGAAATAAGCTTAAAACCACAGGTTTGGGTGTACCCTCTGTGAGAGCACAGGTGTTTGTCTCAGCTCAGGGATAACATCTGGTCACAAAGCACACTCTGATGCTGGAGACCCTGGACAGTGCATCGTCTGCCGGGAGTAACTGGGCAGAGCCTGCCACAGATGCAGATGTTGCCTGGACAAGCTGTCCTAAGGATTGAGGAAGAGCAAGATCGAGGAGAGGGAGCAGATCGCTAGGGAGAAGAGTGCCCACACTCAGAAGCCACTCTTCATTGCCCTCCTTCATATTCTCAGTTACTTCTACAACTAACTGGTGAATACCATCAGTCTCGGCTTCTTGTTGTAAAACCTTCTCTGTGACTAGATTAGAGTCTGGAAATTTCAACCTCTTTTCCTTTGATTTGCCCCACTTCATCCAACAGGCTGTTGATTTCACCGATTAGGCACTGATTTTCTTTTCCAAACATTTGTATTTCTTCTGGGGATAATTCATTTCCCCTTGGCTGTCTCTCCGGGAGCCGGATTCAGGTTGTGCTTTGCTCAGAGTCTTGTTTGGACATTCCTCAGGGACAGATGACTGGTCCAGATCACACTCCTAGTATTGGGTTTTAGTCAGGCATTCATAGGCTTTAGGGGTCAGGGGAATGGGGATAGGGAAAGAATACGTCTTGATTTTCTCTAACCAAATTTAGCATTTTTCACTGGAAAATGTAGACAAAACCATGTATTAACTGTATTTCTGATTTTGTTGTCAGGATATTGAGATAAATATTGAATATTGAGAAAATATTGAGATATTTTCATGTCACTGTAGAGTTTCTGCAGAAAAATCATTTATGTCCCACTGAGGATTCTAAATGATTAGACCTTCCACTAGTTCTTGCTATTTAATATGTTCCCAAAGAAGCAGATGTTTAGTATATCATATTTAGAAAATACTGTGATAGGTTTTTTTTTTTGGTAATTGGTTTCCTTTATATTTTTATGCATTTTTAAGAAAAGATTTTATTTATTTATTTGTCAGAGAGAGAGAGAGAGATCACAAATAAGCAGAGAGGCAGAGAGGCAGGCAGGCTACCCGCCAAGCAGAGAGCCCGATGTGGGGCTCCATCCCAGGACCCTGAGATCATGACCTGAGCTGAAGGCAGAGGCTCAACCCACTGAGCCACTGAGTGAACCCAGGCTCCCCTATTTTTATGTATTTTATTTTAGGCATTTAAAACCACTATTTAGGGAAGGAAGTTGTAACCATCTGCAGGGGTCCGTGGCATGAAAAAAGGGAAGGAACCCCGAATTAGAGGGAAAGAGAAATTTCCAGATTAATGTTTTCCTCAGGAA